GTTAAGCTGGACCCCAACAAAACCAGTCTTGACGCTTGGGGATTGTCTTGGCTCTTTTTCAATCGAGCAAGAGCCGAAGTTGCTGATGTATTTTCTCCCGTTCTGTTTTTGATACAACGTCCGGGATCGGATTTCTGTCCCCTACGCTGCTTAATTAGCAAGTGGCAACAGCTGATTGCCGGTGTTTTTCTTTCTCAGCTCTTCCCCAGAGTGGGGGTGAAAGAGCTTGAGGGTGCCCCACAGAGAGGAATTCCCAAGTGCGCCCTCCTGGGTTCTCGGGGGGGCGGGGGCGTTTTGCACTGGGGTAGTGGCCGCATCTACCCATCCAAGCTCAGAGAGAAGTTGGGACCTTGGGAGTTTAATACCCGCCTGGAGTGGCCAGGATTAAATTTTTAGAATCCTTGGGGGCCCCCACCTTCCGCACTCGAAGTGCCAGAGTGGGGAACCAGCCTAGACGCCCCCAAATCCCAACCCCCCCGGCTAGCCCACTGAACTCCAAGCCCCGAGCCTGCACCCCTGAACCCTGATCCTGCAGCCTGCGCCCCACACCCCAACTACCCAAACCCCAATCTGCCAGCCCGCCCTCAAACCTCCATCCTTCAGTCTGCCCCACAAACCCCGGCCCACCCCCCATCTCAATCCGCCAACCACCTTCCCCCCCCCCACAGCTCCATCCCTTGCTCCACCCCAAACCCTGCACTCTCCCAGCTGCCCCCTGAATCCCAATCCCTGCCCTCCCCACCCCTATCCCCCCACGCCAGCCTCGTTCCTCCCAGCCAGCCAGCGCTCCCTGAACCCCAATCCTCATCCCCCTGAGCCCCCAGGGCCCTACCTTGCCCCGCAGTTTGATGAGGAAGCTGAGGGTGGAAAGTGCCTTCACCCGCAGCACATCCCCCAGCACTCGGTTCGACGCCACCTGGGGAGAGAAGCAACCGTCGGCACTGCCCGGACACCTGGGTTCCCCACTGTGGGAATGGGGCTCATGGAATTGCCCGGATGCCTGGGTTCCCCAGAAGGGATCTCTGTAACCCTGTGAAGGGTGTGTGTGTGTGTGTTCAGAGAGTTGCCCGGACACCTGGGTTCCCCCGCAGAGGGGGCTCGTGGCCACCCGGGTTTCCCCACTGGGGGAATGGGGCTCATGGAGTTGCCCGGATGCCTGGGTTCCCCCACCAAGTAGAGGAGGCTCACGGCTGTTCGGACGCCTGAGTTCCCCAGCAGGGATCTCTGTAACCCCGGGAAGTTGCAAGGGGGAATGTTGGGGATCAGGGAGTTACCCACATGCCTGGGTCCCCCCACGGAGGGGAAGGGGCTTGCGGCCGCCTGGGTCCCCCGACTCACCTCCAGGCAGAAGCCGACAACGTCGGAGAGGTGCTGGACGATGACGGAGACCTCGCTCTCCATCAGCTCATCAAAGACCTCCATGGCCTCGCTGGCGTGGACCTGGGGGGGCCGGACACGCACTGGTCAGGGAGCCTCGACACATTTTGACACCTCAGACAACCCCCCAGCCCCTCCCCCACACCAGTGCCCCCCAATGACCCTTCATTCCCCCCTCTCACCTCGTTAATGGAAATCAGCTGCCTGACGGCTGAGATAATCTTCGGGACCAGGGAGTGCATGAGATTCTGGGGGGCAGAGACAGAGACAAGATGAGGGGGGACCCCCAAGATACCGGGGGCAGGAGAAGGGAATGGCTGGGGGAGCCGGGGGATAGGGACTCGGGATCAGTGGGTTCTAGGGAACACGGTACGGTGGGGGACAGATAGGAGGCCCAGGGGGTTCCGGTGCATAGGGGGCTCAGTGGGGGACTTGTGAGGGGCTCAGGGGGGTCGGTGAGTTCTGGGGTATGTGGAGTCAGTGAGGGGCGCATGGGGAAGGCGGGGTGGGTGGGGGCTCAGGGAAGATGTGAGGAAGGCAGAGGTAGGTGGGGGGCTCAGGACACACCGGGGTGCATGGGGAAGGCGGGGTGCTCAGGGGGATGGGTGGGGCCAGGCTGGGGCTCAGGGGGCCGGGGCTCACCAGGTGGTCGGCGCCCAGCCCGGCGGCCATGGCTGCCAGCCCCCGCAGGCAGTAGTAGAGCGCCCCCGGCTGGCCGTGCTGGCCCAGGGCACTGTGGAAGAGACGCAGCAGGGCAGAGTAGTGGGGGGCGAAGGCCTCGGGGTCCAACTCCAGCGCCGAGCTCAGCACCAGCAGCGAGATCTGCGGGAGGGGGGAGGGACTCCGTGGATCACAGCCCCCCGCCCCCCTTCCCCCCACCCCTTCCCCCCACCTATCCCCGCCCCCCTTCCCCCCCAATCACAGTCCCCAGCCCAACCCCCACCAACCAGTCCCCTGACGCCCCCCCTCCACCCTCAATCCCCAACTGGCCTCCCACAGATCAGAGCCCCACGACCGACCGGGTTTGAGAGACAGCCTGACCCTGCCGCCCCCAACCAGACCCCCCGGAGCCCCCCCTACCTGGCGGAGGTGTGGGTCAGGGCCGCGCACCCCCTGCTGGATGAGCTGCAGGAGCTGGGGCCAGCGCTCCAGCCCCTGGTGCCGCAGGAGCAGCGCAGCCAGCTGGGCCAGGGCCACCGAGACCTGGTGCCTGGGGGGAAAGACATGGGTGGGGGCACACCGGGTGGGTGTGGGGGATAGAGGGGGGACCCGGGAGGGGGTTGGGGGGAACCCACACCGTTTGGAATTGCAGGAGGAGCAGGGGGGCTCTGGGGATGGGGTAGTGGGAGCTAGGGGGCTGCAGGAGTGGGAGGGATGGGGGTCCAGGGGCTGCAGGGACCGGGGCGGCAGAGCAGGAGACGCCTCCGCTTCCATTTCCTGCTGTAGGGGAAGGGGGCTGCGGAGGGGGTTATGGGGCAGCCGGGGGGAGGGAGAATGTCCCCCCCAACACTCACTCTGCTTCCTGCTGTAGGGCTCCCAGCACCAAGCTCTTCAGCCTGAGAAAGAGAGATGGGGGGGGTCAGGCAGGGTGAACCCCAGCCCCCCAGACGACAGGGAGGGGGGACCCCTCGCACCCCAGCACCCACCTGTCCTGCTCCTCAGGGTTCAGCTTCCGCCAGTGCTTGGTGAGACGCAGGCGAAGGAGCACAGCTGCCAGCTGCCGGATCTGGGGGGGCAGAGAATGGGGGGGGCTCAGCCAGGGGATGGGACCCCTGGGGGGGAGATGGGGGATCCCCTGGGGGGACAGACAAGGAGATGGGAGATCCACGGGGGATCCCCTGGGGGGAAGGGGGTCACTCACCTGGGGGTCCGGGGCCCCTGCCAGCAGCTGGCAGAGCTGGGGCAGCACCTCGGGGTGTCTGAAGGCCTCACGCAGCTGGGCCGTGGCCTGCAGGGGGGAGCAGAGATTGTCACAGAGGGGCCCAGATCCCCTGCCCCCCACCCCAGCGCCCCCCAGCCCTCCCTTCCCAAGTAACCCCCTCCCCACAGTGAGGCCAGCTCCCCCCAGCGCCTCTTTCCCCACCCCGTCCGAGCCCCTCAGCCCCGGACTCCTGGGTTCTCCCCCCACCTACCTGCTGGATCAAGGCGTTGTCCGGCTGCAGCAGGTCGGACAGGACCCGGCCCAGCCCGCCAGGCTCCATGGGGGGAGAGGGGTCCTGCAATGGGGGGGCTCAGGCCGGGGGCCCTGCAATGGGGGGCTCAGGCCGGGGGGAGGGGGCCCTGCAGTGGGGGGGCTCAGGCCGGGGGGGGAGGGGGTCCTGCAGTGGGGGGGCTCAGGCCGGGGGGGCCGCAGCAGGGAGCAGGGCCCTGCAATGGGGGGGGGGACTCAGGTCGGGTAGGAGGGGCCTGGGCTCAGCAGCCAGCGAGTCCCGCACAGCAGCACGTGTGGGGGGGAGCAGACGAGTCCCAGCTTCCGGGAGATAGAGCGGCCCCAGGCCACGCCCCTCGTGCCCCGCCCCTCCGTGGCCCAGGAGGACTCGTGCAGCCAGAGGAATGGCCAGGGGTTAACCCCTTCCGCGCCGCACAGCTGAGAGCCGGACACCTGGGTTCTCTCCCTGGCTCTGGGAGAGGAGTGGGGTCGGGGAGCCAGGACTCCTGGGTTCTATAGACACCCCCACACTAATTTTTATTAATAAACTTTATTCCGAGATCCATAAAAAGAAAGAGTCAGAACCAACCAAATCAAATACAAATAAAATAATCAACTGCCCCGGCGCACCCAGCTACCCCCCCCCATATACAGCAATAGCACTACCGGTGTCTGCACGCAGCCAGCAATGGGGGGGGGGGGGGTTGTGGGGTATAGCCCCCTCCCGACTGAGGTCTCTGGGATACTCTGCCAGCCCTACATGGGATCTGCTCTCCACTAGATCCTGCCCCCCCCCCGTGATCCATGCCATCACAAGGGGATTTTACCAGGCAATCCTGCTTGCTGTGGGGGATCTACTGCCAGCCCCACATGGGAGCCAGTTGATCTGGGGAAGCCCCAGCGATCCAGCCAATTGCCCGTGGGGTATCTACTCCTCCCCATCAGGGATCTTATCATAGGATCTGCTCCCAGCCCCACAAGGAATCTGGCCTCCCTCTGCTTGCAACCTACCAGGGGATCCAGTTACCTGTGGGGGACCCAATCAGGTATGGGGGCCCATCCCCAAGAGGGGACTCAGCTGGCTGCAGGGGATCCACTTCCATAATGGATCCACTCTCAACCCCATGGGGATCCAGCAGATCCACCAGGGATCCACAATCTGCCCCATCCACATGCAGGGATCTCACATGGGGATCCACTCCCAGCCCCAAACAGGATCTACCTGTGCCTCCCCCTTTGGGAGGGATCCACTTTCAAGCTTTAGCCCCCAAGGGAATCTCATGGGGATCCAGGGAACTGGACACCTGCCCTCTTCCCCCAAGTCAGTCCATTCCCATCACCTGATTGGCCAGTCATCCTGACCAATAGGAGTGGAGTAGCTGGTCCCCCATCACAAGCGAACTGGCCAACAGTCCCAGCCAATGGGAGTGAACCGGTCAGTCGGCTGGTCATCCTACCCAATTAAAGGCAATGATGGATGTGGGACAATCTTTAATGGTGCCCTGTGACTGGCCAGACATCTCAGCCAATAGGAGGGTAATATCCTTAATGGTCCCAGCCAATGGAGGGGCGCTTTTTAGGGTCGCCATCTTTTGTCATGCCGGCCGATTGGCTGAACATCTTGGTCAATGGGAGGGGAGCTCTGTAGCAGTCCCATCCAACGGAAGGGGAGCTCTTTGGAGGATCCATAGCCGCTGACTAGCCGGACATTACAGCCAATGGGAGAAGAGATCCTTAGGGGATCCATACTTGCTGATTGGCTGGACATTACAGTCAATGAGAGAAGAGATCTTTAAGAGAGCCATCTCTAACCACCAGCTGGCCAAGCGTCATGGCCAATGGGAAAGGAACTCCATAGAAGCCCCAGCTTATGAGAGAGATCTTTAAGGGAAGTAAATTTGACCGTCCCCACCAGTTGGCCAGCCACCACAGCCAACTGGAGAGGGTCCCTCAATCCATCTTGAGGTTGACGTAGATGTAGCGGATAAACTTGAGCGAGGCGAAGAAGGAGACGGTGCCCAACATGAGGAAGAAGACGTAGCCTGTGAGGAGGGAGTAGCCGAAGAACTCCACGGTCTGCACCGCGCCCGACATGTTGGAGCGGCGTGAGTAGTAGAAGACAGAGTAGAGGAAGATGAAGACGCCGGTGGAGCCGGCGCTGAGCACCGAGCGCCACCACCAGCGGTAGTCCTCGCCCGAGAGCTGGAAGTAGGTGAGGGCGATGGAGATGCAGGCGCCCACGCTCAGCAAGATGGCGAAGACGAAGAAGAGGATGCCGTAGAGGGTGTACTGCTCCCGGCCCCACACCGTGGCGAAGATGTAGTAGAGCTCCACAGAGATGGCACTGGAGGATAAGAGAGAGACAGGGTCAGCTGCGGGGCAGAGGTGGGATCCCACTGTCTGGGGGATGAAATAGGCCGTCCGGAGAGGCGAAGGGGTGTGATGGGCTCATGCCAAGGAGGTGATGTCATCAAGTGCCCAGAAGACAGAAAGTGGGAAGGGCGAAACAGGAAGTGGCGTACTCGGGAGAAAGCGACATGACTGTCTAGGTAAGAGTAAGCGGGAAAATGAAGGTGCCAACCTGTGAGGTGGGAAGTGGCAGGGAGGGGTGAGACAGGAAGCAGTGGCATCTCCTATGGAGAGCATGGCAGACAGGAAGTGGAGGGGGTGCTCACTGGGAGGGGAGGAAGTGAGGTGGCAGGCGCACAGAAAGCAGGAGTGGGGCTCACCTGAAGGGCAGGAAGCCCCCGATGGTCATGTGCACCAGTGTGGCCTTGTACCAGGGCTGTGGTGGGATCTCGCGGGCGATGTTCTTGGTGCGGCAGGGTGCGTCGAAGGGGCCAGCCCGGTTCTTGCCGAAGATGCCCCCGATAACGGTGAGGGGGAAGCCCACCAGCAGCCAGACCGTCAGCAGCAACAGGATGGTGGTGGCCGGAAGGGCCTGTGTCGAGCCATTGGCCCAGTGCACCGAGTTCACCACGCTCCACGTCACGAAGAAGGGGGCTGGGAGGACAGGGGGCAGGTCAGGGGGACCAAAGAGACCCAGACCACCTCCCCAAGGGATCAGAGAGACTCCCCTGGGGACCAGAGAGACACTCTGCTTCCCACTGGAATCACAGAAGCGCAACCTACCACCCCTAGGAGGCCATGGAGACCCTACATTTTGCCCTCGGGGGAGGGGCCAAAGGCACTATGAAGCAACAGAGGGGACCACCCAGACCCACCCAGTGCACCCAAATCGCCTCCCCTGGGCAAGAGGAACCCCGGGGAACCTGGGCAGAGATGGGGGACTCCAGGGCCTCACCAGAGAAGAGGCTGGTGGTCAGCATGATGTTCCAGACCCAGCGCTCGCCCCCGACTTGCCGGTAGAAGTTGCTGGAGATGTAGCCGGAGATGCAGCAGGTCAGGGCGTAGAGCAGGATGGCGGCGGAGTTGATGGCGCCGTGCCGGTGGACGTTGAACATGCCCAGCAGGGCCATGGCAATGATGCCAGTGCCCAGCGCCAGGAACTGGCTGCCTACGCCCAGGACGGCGCAGAGGAGGCTGCGGCAGGGAGGGAAGCGGAAGACGTCGGTGTGGATGATCTTCCAGCCGTTGTCCCCCTGGTCAAAGTCGTCCCCGGAGGAGGAGGAGGAAGCTTCTTCATCCAGGTTGTACCGGGCCAGATCATTCTTTAGCACCCGCATGAGGATGACCACCACGAAGCCCACCAGAAGAAAGACCAGCACCATGGAGTTGATGATGGAGAGCCAGTGGATCTCCAGGGTGTGGGGGAAGAAGCCCCCGTCATCTCCTCGGCCCCGCCGCTCCCCCCGCCGGTCCGAAGCCGTCTCAGACCAGCGGACACTGTAGGTGTGGGTCAGGGAGAGGGGCCCGGGCCCGCGGACGTCGTCCAGGCTGTGCGGCTTGACATCTCGCACGCTGACGTTAGCGTAGATGATACGGTCGCCGTTCCACTCCAGATGGAAGTCCAAGTGGGTCCACAGCCCGATCTTGTGGCTGTGGGGCAGAAAGCCGCTCTCCTCCATGTACCCCACAAATCCTCGCAGCGGGATGTCATCCACCACAAACTCAAAGTAGTACAGCTCTTCAATGGCCTGTCGGAGGCGCTCCACCTGCCAGGAAACAGACAGGAGTAGGACCCAGGAGTCCTGGTGCCCAGCTCCTCCTGGTCTATCCCACTAGAACCCACTCCCCTCTCAGAGCTAGGACAGAACCCAGGAGTCCTGGCTCCCAGCCCTCACCCACTAGCCCCTGCTCCCATCCAGAGCTGGGTACAGAACCCAGGAGTCCTGATTCCTGATCTGAGCTCCCATGCTCTGTTCCTGGGACAGAACCTAGGCAGTCCCAGTTCCTGCTGTAAACTCATTGGCCCATGCTCACGCTCCTCGACCCAGGGATGGAACCCAGGCATCCGGGCCCAGTCTACCTGATCCAGCGTGAGCGTCTTCACGCACAGGACTGTCTTCTCCACGCTCTCCCGAAAGCGGATCTGGTACATGGACTCGGCCATGCGGTCCCCATCCAGGACCTCCCCGAGGCTCAGGCTCTTGTGCTGGATCTTTTCCGGAGAGCACACGGGCAGCTGGTAGTAGTGGTAGGTCTCCTGGGGGTTGTGGTATGGCCCCACCTTGTTGACGTAGAGCACAACGGGGTCCCCAGGCTGGTAGCGGGTCTCGGAGGAGCCCGGGAGCGGCCAGGAAGCCAGCAGGAGGAGCAGCAGCCAAGGCTGGTGGGGCGCCATGGGGTGGGCGGTCAAGGGGGAGATGGGGCAGGGTCTGGAGAAGGAAGGCAGGAGACAAGGGACAAGAGGCAGTGAAGCCAGGTTCTCAGGACACCTGGGTTCTCTCCCACCTGGGGTGGTCAGCACCCAAGGACAGAGCCCCCCAGCCGCCCCTGCGGAGCTCTAGCCATTGGATATCCCTGGATCACGCCAACCCATGCTCCTGGGACCCCTGCCCCGCATGCACGCCCTGATGCCAGGCTTGACATACTCACGATGCCCACAAGCCAGACCCGAAATTGGCGCGTACATCCCTGGCAAACGAGCCTAGACGAAGGGCCGGGGATTTGCTTCTCTGACCCGCCTCGTGCCGGTGGTGACAGACTGGCAAGGTGCCCGTGGTGCCAGCTGGGGGCGGCCGTTGGCCCGAACGCCCTCGTGGTGCCCACACTGGTGGGGCCAGAGCTCCTGAGAGCCCCGAGGGCCCCGGGCGGGACGAAGCGGGTTTTTCCGACTATTTTGTGTGCAGAGAGCACGTGCCTCAGTTTCCCTGGATCTCTGGAGCCTTCCGCACAGATGCCTGCCCCTCCCCCTCGTGCTTCGTGCAGCACGTCGGGGAAACTGAGGCACGCACACTACACATGGAAAACAACCTGCCCCAGCACACGGGGACCAGCGTCCTCGCCCCCCTCCGCCACGGCTCCCCCCCGGGGTCCTCACCCCCCCCACTGAATCACCCCCCCGACCCGCCGCCCGCCTGGGGTCCTCACGCCCCCCCCCACTGACCCGCCCCCGCTGACGCCTGCTGCGTGGAAGGTCCCGTGGCCCCTCGCCCGGCAGCGGGGTGTCCCTAGCAGCCGGCAAGCAGCCAGGCAACTGCACCCAGCCGGGGGCCTCGCGGCTCTAGAACATGCTCCTGGCGCCTGATCCTTGGGTCCACCCCACCCCACTCCCTGCCGCTGGCCGCCACCCCCGCCGGCTCCCCCAGGTCCCCACCAACGGGAAGCGCGGCCCCCACCGCCGGGGTCCCTCCCTGGGCGGAGCCAGGGACCAAAACGCGTCGAGGTCCTTCAGGCGATCACCAGGGCAGCCCCAGCCACGTCCGTCCCCTACTTCCGCCCTCAGCGCCCCCAACGGGCTTCGTGCCCTCAGCGTGACGCACTTCCAGCGCCTGAGGGGGCCCCGCCCCGCCGTCGGACAGTCTCTTAAAGGGCCAGGAAGCTGTTTCCCGGAGGGTCAATGTTAGGGTGTGCGGGGCAACAAATGGGGAGGGGGCAGCTGGTCTCCCCCAAATAAGGGTCCTCAACAGACCCCATTATCCCAAGGCCTCCCACAAATTAAGAGCCCCAAATTCCACAATGGCCGCAATATAACCCCCCAATTTCTCAGGGACCCCCCAAATTGAACCCCCCAAATTCCAATGGCCCTCCAAAGCACCCAGTTTCTCAGTGTCCCTCAAGTTGATCCCCATGGCCCACAAATTAAGAGACCCCAAACCCCCAGTGCCCCCAAATACTACAGTGACCCACATATAAAGACCCCCAATTTCTCAGTGCTTCCCCAAATTGAGACCCCCATTTATGAGCCTTCAGATGCCCCATTACCTCGTCAATTTAAGACCCCCCCAAATTCCTTAGTGGCCCTCCACTGCCTCATTGGTTCCCCCAAAATGAGGGTCTTTTGTGGCCCCTCAAATAAGTCCCCCAATGCTCCACCTTTCCCCATGATCCCCAAAAAAAGCCCCATTGCCCCCTACAAAAAAGACCTCCGTAGTGTCCCCCAATATCCCAGTATCCCCCAAATGCTGAGGGCCCCCCCAATGCCACTGTGCCCGCTCCCAGTGTGGACCCTGCCCCCCCGGTAGCCCCGGTAACAGGCATCGGCCAATGGGGGCTGGTGGAATGCTGGGGCGACGTTGGCGGAACCGTGGAGTCGGGGGGCGATTCTGGTCACCGGGTTGGGGGACCGAGCAAAGCAGGTGAGGGGGGTCAGCGGGGTCACAGCCCCAGTGGGGAGCTGTGGGAGGCCAAGGCAGTTCTTGGGGGGGGGGATGTCACAGCCCCAGTGGGGAGCTGGGGGAGGTCAGGGAGGTTCTTGGGGGGCTCACAGCCCCAGTGGGGAGTGTGAGGGTTCCTGGAGGTCACAGCCTCATGTAGGGAGGGAGGTTAAGGTGGGTCAGAGCCCCATGGGTTGGCTCATTGGAGACCCAGCCCCACTGGGGTCCAGGGGTTTCATTGGGGGTCCCAGCTAGGATCTAACTGCCTGCCCCACCCCCAGAGGGGTGACTCTCTGGCACCAGATGCACTGAGCCGCCCAGCGCCCCCAGAGGGGCAAGAGGCCGTCATGGTGGAGACAGCCCCCTCGGCCCCCTACCTGTCCGTCATGGACCAGTATGGCTACCAGCTGGGCAAGATCATCGGCCACGGCTCCTATGGCATTGTCTACGAGGCGTATTTCACCAAGCAGAAGGCCAAGGTGGCCATCAAAATCATCTCTAAGAAGAAGGCATCCGATGACTATCTCAACAAATTCCTGCCCCGCGAGATCCAGGTAGCGAGGGGGTGCCGTGGGGTGTGGGGGCCAGGCTGTGGGCGCCGTGGGGTGGGGAGCCGGGCAGGCGGGATGGTCATGGGATGCTGAGGGGGCAGGACAGGGGGCACTGTAGGGCAGGAGGTGCCGTGAGGCAGGGGGGATCAGCAGGGGACACTGTGGGGCAGGGGGCAGGCCAAGGGGGGATCATCAGGGGGCGCTGTGGGCCGGGGGCTCGGCAGGGAGTGCCATGGGGCTGGGGGCGCTGTGGGGCAGGGGGCAGGCCAAGGGGTATCATCAGAGGACGCTGTGGGACCGGGGGCTCAGCAGGGGGCACTATGGGGCAGGGGGCGCCATGGAGCGGGGGGATCAGCAGAGGGCACTGCGGGGCCGGGGGCACCGGGGGGCAGGCGGGCGCCGTTAACCCCTCGCCGCCCGCAGGTGATGAAGGGCCTCCACCACAAGTACTTGATCACCTTCTACCAGGCCATCGAGACCACGTCGCGGCATTACATCATCATGGAGCTGGCCCCCAGCGGCGACATCCTCGAGTGGATCCAGAGCTCGGGGCCCTGTGCCGAGCCCCTGGCTGGCCGCTGGTTCGCCCAGCTCACCCTGGGCGTGGCCTACCTGCACAGCAAGGCCATCGTGCACCGGTGAGGGGCCGCGCCCGCCAGCCCCCGCAGAGCCAAGCCGCGGGCTGCAGCCAGTAGGGGGCGCCCACCGCCACTGGGGAATTACAGTGGGTCCTGCTCTATTGGGGGTTGTGCCATTCCCCTCCCTGCTGGGGGGCTGGCTCCCTGGCACCACCAGCCCCCCAGTCCCACCGCCTTTCCCGGTGCCCCTCTGCCACCTCCAGCCTTGCAGAGCCGGCCTCAGTTTACCAGCTTCCCCTCCGCCACCTGCACCACACGTGGCTTGAGGCGGCGGGTTGGGGGAATATTATCTCACCCAGGCACCGCCATAAAACCGAGCAGCCCCCACCCTGGCTGGCCAAGCCTGCCCCCCCAGCGCTCCCCCCCAGAGCTCCCCAGCCCTGAGTCCCAGCCATGCTGCGTTCCACCTCTTGGATCTGCCCCTCAAGCCCCAGACAGGCCACTGAGTGCTCTGCAGGCTACCTGGGGGACACCCCACAGGCCTTCTGGGGGACCCACAGACCCCTGGGGGCCCCCCTGCCCACTGGCACCATGAGCCAGTGCCTGTAGAGGGGAAAGGCTCCACGCCCCATTCCCTAAGCCAGCCAGTCCCTGCCCTGCGGCCGGATCAGAGCCGGCACCCCCTAGAGGGGAAAGGCCCCGCGCCCCATCCTCATCCCCGGCGCCCCTAGGGGCAGCCCTGCACCCCCGCCGACCCCCCGCTCCCTCCTGCAGGGACCTGAAGCTGGAGAACCTGCTGCTGGACAAGCGGGAGAACGTGAAGATCTCGGACTTCGGCTTCTCCAAGCAGGTGGTGCCGCAAGGCCAGCCGCCGGCCAGTCCCTCGTACCCACTGCTGGCGGGCTCCAGCCCCCTAAGCCAGACCTACTGCGGCAGCTTCGCCTATGCCTGCCCCGAGATCTTGCTGGGGCTGCCCTACAACCCCTTCCTGGCCGATATCTGGAGCATGGGCGTGATCCTCTACACGCTGGTCGTGGCCCACCTGCCCTTCGACGACACCAACCTCAAGCGCCTGCTGCGAGAGACCCAGAAGGAGGTGACCTTCCCTTCCCAGCCGCACGTCTCCGAGGAGTGCAAGGTGGGTGGGGAGGGGGCAGCAGGGGGCGCCAGGAGCTGGGAGGGCTGCAGGCCAACAGGGGGCGCTGAGTGGCCGGCAGGGAGTGGGGGAGCTGGCCAGCAGGGGGCGTGGTGGGTTGGGGGGCCAGACTGGCAGGCGGCACCCAGCAGACCCGGCTGTGGCTGGGCAGATGTAGGGAGATAGGTGGATCGTGGGGGGCTGGGCAGACAATGCGGGACACAGAGCAGGGGGCTGGACACTGGTGGGTGGACTGGAGGGGCTGGGTGACCCATGCGAGGCTGGACAGATCATGGGGGGCTGGGCAGTGTTTGAGGCGGGCTTGGGGGGTCATGGGGTGGCCAGGTGGATAGAGGGGGACTGGGCCTCATGACAAGGCAAGCGGACCACAGGGGGCTGGACAGATCGGGGGGCGCGGGTCGTGTGGATCGAGGGGGTCCAGACCCAGTGGAGGGGAGTGAGCCAACTGTGAGGGGCTGGGTGCCATTTGAGGTCGGGCCAGGTGGATCATGGGAAGCCAGGCCCAGTGGAGAGGGGAGTGGCTCATGGGGGCTGGGTGGACCATGGTGGGGCTGGACAGATCGGGCGGGGGGGCAGATCAAGAGGGGCCAGGCCCAGTGGAGGGAGCAAGCAGGCCACGGGGGCCAGGCAGACAGCGGGGCCCTTAACGCTCCCCTTTGCCCCCCCAGGACCTAGTGCACCGGCTGCTTTGCCCGGTGCCCCGGCGCCCCACGGTGCTGGACCTGCTGCAGACGCCGTGGGTCCAGCGTTTCCAGGGCGAGCGGCCCCACACCGAGCTGCGGGCGCTGGAGGCAGCCTGGGGAGTGCGGGCTGAGGGGGGGCGGGTGCTGCCCAGGACCCCCTCCTTGCCCCTGCACAGTGAGAAGAAGCGGGGGGGCAGCGGAACCCAGCTGAAGGTTGCAAAGCTGCCAGAGAAGGGGAGCTGAACCCCCAATAAAGAGAGCCCAAACCTATGGGGTGCAGTGTGAGGAGGCTGGGAAAAGGGGGGGGGCTCAATGGTGGGGACCTGGGGGCACCGTGCCAAGGGGGTAAAGAATGCTGCTCTATATTCTCAACCTTTTATTTTGGGGTCCTCCACCTGAACCCCAATTTCAAGGCAGCTAGAAAAGGGGGGCTCGGGGCTGAACCCCCCAGAATTGGGGGCAGAACAGCCCCCCTGAAGTTCACACCTAGAGAGGGACCTCTCTACCACCCTTTGGCTTTTCGGATGCAGCCCCCCACCTTCACATCTCGGGTGCCAGGACTCTCCCGTGCTCCCAGCGACACCCCCAAATTCCTCCCCACAGGCGTGGGGGGCAGAGGGAGTTCCCCTTAGTGTTCACTCTGATGGGGGGGTTCTCCCTAGGGCCCCAACACCCCAGAGTTTAGGAGATGGCACAGCCCCCCCCCAAAGTTCAGTACAAGTGGGAAGGATTGGGGCGGGGGGCTCAGCTGCGGGGGTGGGGACATTCAGGGTTCCACCCCAGAGTGGCCGGGCACTGCTGGCAGCAGCAGTAGGTTGATATCTCCCCTCCCCCACAGCATGGGCTGGGCTCGAACCTAGGCGTGTGGTCCAGAGCAGGGCCGGCCCAGGGAGGGACAAGGGGTGGGGGGGGGCGGAGCTGGGCAGGGAGCAGCCCCCGCCCCACAGCCAGCAGCAGTAGGAGGTTATCTCACTTAGCCACATGCACACACGGCAGTAGTAGGTTGTTATCCGTCTCTTATACCCCCCCATCACCAGCAGTACCAGGTTCTCTCTCTCACACACAGCAGTAGTAGGTTGTTCTCTCTCTCTCTCTCACACACACACACATGCACACACACAGCAGTAGTAGGTTGTTCTCTCTCTCTCTCTCTCACACACGCACATACACACATAGCAGTAGTAGGCTGTTATCAGTCTCGGACACCCCCGTCCCAGCCCCACAGCAGGTTGTTATCACACACTCATGCCTGCAGCTGTAGTAGGCTGTTATCCCCCCCCCTCGTGCACACAGAGGGACACAGAGGCTCAGTCACTCTGGAGTTTATTCTGCCCCTTGGGGAGACGCAGTGGGGGGCACCGGTGCGGGGGGGCAGGAGCGAGCGAAGGCCTCCAGCCCCTGGGTGAGGAGCACCTGGGTCATTCCATTGGGGACCAGGACGCAGGTGACACCTGGGGGAGGAGAAGAAGAGAGAGGGGGTGACCCCCACCATTCAGCCCCGCCCCCACCCCTCCATTTGCTCCCCTCCCCCCGCAACATCCCAGTCCCTGACTCCTCCCCCCATTCCCTCCCTGGGCCCTCCCCCAACATTCACCCATGTGGGGCTGGCAGGGAAGTCCTGCCCAGGAGGGCTGGGGGCACCTGGGGGGGCAGAATCTGAGGTCACCCCGCCTTGCCCACCTAGCTTGCTGACATCCCGGATGTTGCGCTCCTCGTCGTCGAAGAACAGCATCTGGGCGAAGGGGACCCCGGTGTCCTGCTGCAGCCTGGGTGGGGGGAGGGGCAGACTCAGGGCTGGCAGTATAAGGGTCCGGGGGGGTTAAGGGTGCAGTGGGGGTTGGGATCTGGGGGGTTACTTGGGGAAGTGGGTGCTCTTCCCCCGAGGCTGGATCTCAGCTGGGGCAGTGGTGTTTAGGGGTGCAGGGGGTACCTGCTGCTTTGGGGACTTGGGGGTACCTGTGGAAGAGGGTGGAGTGGGGATTGGGGGATTTGGAGGCATGGGGGGTGCAGTGGGTACCCATGGAGGTGGGTTTGGCAGGGTTGGGGGTTCAGCGGGTACCCGTGGAAGTGGAGGGATGGGGGTTAGGGGGGTGCAGCACTGTTTGGGGGTGCAGTGGGTACCTGTGAAAGTGGGGGGTGGGGGCTTGCGGGTGCAGTGGGGTTTGGGTGTGCAGCGGGTACCTGTGGAAGTGGAGGGGTGGGGGTTTGGGGGTGCAGTGCTGTTTGGGGGTGCAGCACGTACCTTTGGAAGTGGAGGGGTTTGGGGGTGCAGCGCAATTTGGGGTGCAGCATGTACCTGTGGAAGTGGAGAGGTTTGGGGGTGCAGCAGGGTTTGGGGGTGCAGTGTGTACCCATGGAAGTGGAGGGGTTTGGGGGGTGCAGTGGTGTTTGGGGGTGCAGCGGCTACTTGTGGAAGTGGAGGGGTCTGGGGGTGCAGCGGGGTTTGGGGGTGCAGCAGCTACCTGTGGAAGTGGAGGGGTTTGGGGGGTGCAGCATGGTTTGGGGGTGCAGCATTACCTGTGGAAGGGGAGGGGTTTGGGGGGGCAGCTGGTACCTGTGGAAGTGGAGGGGTTTGGGGGTGCAGCACGGTTTCGGGGTGCAGCAGGTACCTATGGAAGGGGAGGGGTTTGGGGGTGCAGCGGCTACCTGTGGAAGGGGAGGGGTTTGGGGGGGCAGCGGCTACCTGTGGAAGGGGCAGCAGCTACCTGTGGAAGGGGAGGGGTTTGGGAGTGCAGCGCGGTTTGGGGGGGCAGCGGGTACCTGAGGAAGGGGAGGGGTTTGGGGGGGCAGCGGGGTTTGGGGGGGCAGCAGCTACCTGTGGAAGGGGAGGGGTTCGGGGGGGCCGCGGGTACCTGTGGCAGGGGAGGGGTTTGGGGGCCGCGGGTACCTGTGGAAGGGGAGGGGTTGGGGGGGCAGCGGGTACCTGTGGCAGGGGAGGGGTTTGGGGGGCAGCGGGGTTTGGGGGGGCAGCTACCTGTGGAAGGGGAGGGGTTGGGGGGCAGCGGGTACCTGAGGAAGGGGGAGGGGTTTGGGGGGGCCGCGGGTACCTGTGGCAGGGGAGGGGTTTGGGGGGCCGCGGGTACCTGTGGCAGGGGAGGGGTTTGGGGGGGCAGCGGGGTTTGGGGGAGGAGCAGCTACCTGTGGAAGGGGAGGGGTTGGGGGGCAGCGTACCTGTGGCAGGGGAGGGGGTTTGGGGGGGCAGGGGGTTTGGGGGGGGAGGTACCTGTGGAAGGGGAGGGGTTGGGGGGGCCAGCGGGTACCTGTGGAAGGGGAGGGGTTTGGGGGGGCCGCGGGTACCTGTGGAAGGGGAGGGGTTTGGGGGGCAGCGGGGTTTGGGGGGGCAGCGTACCTGTGGCAGGGGAGGGGTTGGGGGGCGCGGGTACCTGTGGAAGGGGAGGGGTTTGGGGGGCAGCGGGGTTCCTGGGGAAGGGGAGGGTTGGGGGGGCGGGTACCTGTGGCAGGGGGAGGGGTTGGGGGGGCAGCGGGTACCTGTGGCAGGGGAGGGGTTTGGGGGGGCAGCGGGTACCTGTGGAAGGGGAGGGGTTGGGGGGGCCGCGGGTACCTGTGGAAGTGGGCGCTCTTCCCCCCGGGGTAGATCTCCACCCGGTGCAGGAAGCGGTGCAAGCCGAAGAGCTCCAGCAGCTGGGTGGCGCCGCGGGTCTCGCCTGTCCTGGGGGGAGGGGGGTGGTCAGAGGGGCTGGGGTGTCGGGGCGCAGGGGGTGTCGGGGCCGCAGGGGGGCGCAGGGGGGCGCAGGGGGGCGGGGGTCAGACACTCACCGGGAGGCGGCTGCCATGGGGACGCCCAGGCCCTGCAGTCGCTCCAGCACGGCCAGCACCTCGGGGTACAGCTGGACGGGGCGGCCGCGGGCATCCAGCACCGAGCCAGCCCTGGGGGCAGACGGGGTTACCCGACTCCTTGGAGCCCCAGTACCCTCCCCGCTGACCCCCCCGGCCCCCTCTAGCCTCCTCTGATCCCCTCTAGCCCCCCATGGCTCCCGATCCCCTCTAGCCCCTCCCCTCCACCCCCTATGGTCCCTTATAGCCTCCTCTGACCCCCTATAGCCCCTCCCCTCCACCCCCTATGGTCCCTTATAGCCTCCTCTGACCCCCTATAGCCCCTCCCCTCTGACCCCCATAGCCCCCAATCCCCTATAACCTCCCATGGCTCCTGGTCCCCTCCCCTCCCTCCTATGGCTCCTTATAACCTCCTCTGACCCCCATAGCTCCCAATCCCCTGTAGTCCCTCCCCTCTGACCCCCATAGCCCCTGATCCCCCATAACGCCTCTTACCCCCTGTAGTCCCCATAGCCTCTTCTGACCCCCTATAATCCCTTCCCTGACCCCTATAGTCCCCATAGACCACATAACTGCCTCTGACCCCGTATAACCCCTCCCTGGCCACATATATCGCTCCCTTATAGCCCCCGATCCCCTATAGCCCCCATAACCTCCACTGACCCACCATAGCTTCTTCCCCTAGCCTCTCTGAGCCCTATAGCTAGGACCCTACCAGATTCAAGGTGTCACAGACTGTGAAGTCTGGTCTCTCCTGTGCTTTTACTGGGCAGATTTCACGGGGGGGGGGGACTTTTCTCAACCTGGGGGTCCCGACCCTAAAGGGGTTATGGGGAGCGGGGCTGCTGGCCTGGAGTGTCGCCACCAGCAGCAGCACAGATGTCAGGGTGGCAACACCGCAACCCCCCCCAAGAACCGTGTGATCCCCCCCAGCCCCCTCTTGGGTCGGGGCAGGGGACTTTTCTGATTTCAAGATCTAGGATCATGAAACTGACGATTTTTAAAATCCTATGACTATGAAATTGACCCAAATGGACCCTGAATTTGGTAGGGCCCTTCCCTATAGCCACCTCTGAACCCATAGCCCCTCCCCTGACCTCCTATAGCCTCCTCTGACCCCCTATAGCCCCATCCCCCATAGCCCCTCCCCAACCCCCTATCGCCACCTCTGACCCCCATAGCCCCTCCCCTGACCCCCTATAGCCCCATCCCCCATAGCTCCTCCCCTGATCCCATCTCTCTCTCTCCCTTATAGCCTGCTCTGATCCCCATAGTCCCTCCCTGACCCCTTGCATACCTCCCTTATAGCCTCCCTAACCCCCTACAGCCCCCATAACCTCCTCTAACTCCATATACCGCTCCCTCATAGCCTCCCTGACCCCCTATAGGCCCTCTCAGACCTCATATATCACTCCCTTATAGCCCCCAGACCTGCTTTAGCCCCATAACCTCCTCTGAACTCCATGGCCCCTGACCTCCTATAGCCCCTCCCATGACCTCCTATATCCCTCCCTTATAGCCCCACAAACCCTATACCCCCATCCATAGCCCGCTGGCCCCTCCCCATCTTACCCCTACACTCCTCCCTCTTAGGCCAACTTCCGTTCCCCCCGCCCCCTCCCCATGTTCCCCTTGCCCACCTGCCCCGCTGGAAGGGGGGGTCCACGTGGGTGTCAACCCAGAAGGGCCACAGGGTGTAATCTGTAACAAGAAAGGAGGGGCGTCACCCTCCATGGAGACCCCCGTCACCAGGACCCGAACCCAGGGCTGTGGGGAGACCCCACCTAGCAACTGCCCCACTGGGGGGTGCCCCACACTACCCCCCCCCCCCAGGATCCCAGCCCAGTCTCTGGAGACACAGACCCCATAACCCCCTGGTGACCCCCACCCAGATCTCCCCAAACCCTCCAGTCACACCCCCCACACACTGCCCCAAACTCACCCAGAGCTAGGACCCAAAGGCAGGGCGCGGGGAGACCCCCCCCGAAACCTCCCCTCTGCCCCTCCAGCATGCCAGCCAGAGTCGGGGGACACGTGTAACCCACACACCTCCTGGGGGTGGTGCTCTGTCCCGTCTGATGGCACTGAGACCACTAGAGAGAGTGAAATGGGTCTGCCACAGCCTTAGCTAACAGGCAGTTGGCTTTTAGCTCATGCAAGAAGCTCCAGAGGTCCCCGGTTCGATTCCCCTCGCCGGTGCTACACAGGGACCCTCCAACCTGTACCTCAAACTCACCCAGGTCAAACACAACCAGCCCAGGGAGGTGGCACATCGGGTCCCCTTTGTCGGGGGGAGGGTAACAGAGAGATGGGGGGTGTCTGGGGGCTGGAGAGAGGGACAGACGGGGAGCAGGGGGAGCGTCTGGGCTGGATGGGGCAGACCCGGCTGATCGCTGGAGTGGGCCGGGCTGTGCCAGCTGGGCATCACGTGTTGGGCCATAGAGACTCAGGCTAGACAGGCTGCTCTGCAGTTAACCCCGCCCGTGCCAGGGCACAGAGCTAAAGAGCCCAGTGCAGAGACTCACCCCAGAGCCAGCTGCAGCTCAGTGCCAGGCAAGGGGTCCCCATGTAACCAGCCCCCCCACACCACCCCAGAGCCAGCTGCAGCTCAGCAACCTGCAAGGGGGTCACCATGTAACTGGCTCCTGCGCCCCACCCCAGAGTCAGCTGTATGTCAGGGCCGGGTGAGGGGTCCCCACAGGAGTGAGGGAAGCTCCGTAACAGAGGAGGGGGCCCACCGGTGCCCAAACCACGGCCCAGCCCTACCTCTCCGCCCCGTCTCTTCGCTGCAAGTCCTTGGCTCCCGCTCACTCCTCCTCGCCCCCTCCACCCCGGCTTGCCCTTACGCTGGTAAAAAGTGGGTGGTCCATGGCCCCCTGACTGCACCTCTTCTGGCACGCTGGGTCCCTGTATACCAGCCCTTCCGCCCACCCCAGACGGGCCCCCTCTCAGTGGGGCTCACTATATAACCAGCCCCTCCCCCCTCGGAGGGGGCCACGTCTCAGCGCCAGGTCCCCAAATACCAGCACCCGTACCCCACATGAGCAGCTGCATCTCAATGCTGGGCAAGGGGACCCCATATAACCAGCTCCCCCCAGAGGGGCCAGGCCATGTCTCAGCATCGGGTGAGGGGTCTCCCTGTAAGCAGCCCCCCAAACCTCCTCTCAGTGCCAGGCAAGTGGCCCCCCCTCTAACCAGCCCCACCTCTCCACCCCAGAAGCAGCTGCATCTCCACACCCTGCTGCACTGAGACACCTTTATTAACACTCAGCGATCCAAACACAAGGAACAAGACACCAACGGGGACCCCCGAGCGCTGGCCACTGCTACAACCACGCCACCCCAGCCCCCCACGGACGGCCACCCACACTGAGAGTCCATGGGGGAGGGGGAAGCAGCCATCCGGACAGTGCTAGCAGAGCAGGGGGTGCTTGTGGGGGGCTCTGTCGCTCCAGTAGGGGGGTCCCATCACCGTAGCTGCCCCCCCCGCAGAGCCAAGACCAGGTGGAGGACGGAGCCACCCTGGATCTTGTAGTCGGCTGCAGTCTTCTCGTCGTTCCTGCAGGGCAGATGGAGGGACACACAGACAGAGGGGGCATGAGCCGGGCATAGCCACCACACAGCTGCCAGCCATGGGGGTGGGGCCAGGACTCTGGGGTTCCATCCCTGGCTGTGGGAGGGGAGTGGGGTCTAGTGGTTAGAGGGGGCGGGGGCTGGGAGCCAGGACTCCTGGGTTCTACCTCAGGGGAGTGGGGGCTAGTGGGTTAAAGGCGGTGGCCCTAACAGCCCTTAATGCCAGCTGGCAAAGGGCACCCCCCTCCCCGTAGTGTGAACATTCAGCCCAACAGCCTCTAGTCAGGTGCCCTGTAACCCCTGGCAACCCGAGAGCCGTGGCATGGTGCAGGCCCTGAACACACCGTTCCTCACAGGTGCTGCCAACATGTCCCGGGAGCAGCAGGCCACTGAGCTGGCCCCGGCAGCAGGAACGGGGATTTTACCTGCCTGAGCGTGGACATATTCGTCCATGCCATGCAAAGCAATGGTGCCCATCGCCCAGCAGAGGCGGCAGCTGGCCCAGCGCCCATGGGGATATCTGGCAAAGTGTCCCTGGGGTATCCAAATGGGGGAGACCCTCTGCCGGCGTGCCAGGAGCTGGCCATGCCAACAGCTTGATGGCTAGGAAAAGCTGGTCCGTGCCCCTAGAACCGGCTCTGCACAGAGGGTGCATCCTCAGTGGGGCCAACCTCCTGCTGTGGCCTCCGTCTCTCTCTCTCTCTGCCGGGAGATCCCACTGGGGGGGGGTCTGAGAGATGGGCAGCACCTGCCAGGGAGGGGCAGAGCCTGGAGGAGTTGGCAGGGGAGGTGGGCAGGTTGTCATCGGCCACCCAGTTTAAGCACCAGCAAAGCTGCTGCTGCTGGGGGAGGCTGGGAGCCAGGATGCCTGGGTTCTGTTCCAAGCTCTGGGAGGGGAGTGGGGTCTAGTGGTTAGAGCACAGGGGGCTAGGAGCCAGATCGCCTGGATTCTATCCCATAATGCGCTAGGGAACGTTCTGCTGGCAGTGGGAGCAGAACCTATCCCACAAAGCACCAGAGGCTTGCTACACTTCAGATATCCCAGAACGGCCCTGGGCTGCATCGACCATCGTGCCCCTCCCCCCCACTCACATCTGCTTGCCGCTATAGATGAGACGCTGCTGCTGGGGTGGGATCCCCTCCTTCTCCTCCACACGCTCCTTTATCCGCTCCACCTGGGGTATGAGAGAGAGGTGAAAGCCTGGAGAACTCCCCCCCAACCCCGAATAACTCCCTGCCCCAGGGGCTTCTGGGACAGAGAGGACAGGACCAAGGTCCGGATCCCAGGAGAGTGGGGAAGGGATGGAGGGGGCGGGTCTGAATGCTGGATCCCAGGAGAATGGGATGGGGGAAGGGTCTCCAGAAGGGCAGGGTCTCCCCCAGCCCCACCTCCTCAGGACAGGTACCTTGTCTGTGGGCTCAATGTCGATCTCGATCTCCTTCCCGGTCAGCGTCTGGAAGCAGCAGGGGAAGCCTCGGTTAGCAGCAGCTCCCCTGGGATTCCCCCATGCACAGGAGCCGGGCTGTGCCCACGCTCCCTGCCCCTCTATCCCATGGTGCGCCAGAGCAGAGAGACGTACTGCAAGCTTCTCCCACAATGCCCTTGGGGCCCGGCTTTCCCATCATGCACTGGGGCACCAACTCTTGCTCACTTGCTCTGCCCCCCCATGCAATCCCCTGAGACCCCCCCTTCACCCATCATGCACCAGGGCAGGGGCAGCCCCTGGCCCCCAAGGCACTGGGGGGTCACACGCTGCTGTCAGCCTGTTCTCCCAGCATGCACCAGGGCAGGGAGTGGGCAGCACCTATCCCAGGATGCTCTGGGGCAGCAACTCTTGCTCACCCGCCGCCCCCGTTTCCCAGCAGCCCCCGCGCCAGGGTCCCCCGCTCACCTTCACTTTGATCAGCATCGTGGCCCGGCAACTCCTCACCTCTGACCCGGAACCAGAACCGAACCCCCGCCGTTCGGAGGCTTTTACCCAGCAGACTCCGCGCGCGCGGCCCTCTCCCTGACGTCACTTCCTCCACCTTTCCAGCCCAACCCCGCGGGGCACGACGGGAGCTGTGGTCCCCTCAGCCCCGCCCCCAGTTCAGAACAAGGCAAGAGACTACAGCTCCCATGGGGCAACGCAGAGGCTGGGGGCGGGACTAGGGGCGATCCCTGAGCCCAGTGCATGATGGGAATTGTAGTCCTCGCACAGCTGTTACCCCTTGAGCACGACCAGGGACTGGACTACATTTCCCATGGGGCAAAGCGGCTCGGCAGGACTAAGAGCGCGGGAGGTGCAAAGGAGCATGATAAATAAAACACCCCCCAGCCTTCGCGGTGCATGATGGGAGTTGTAGTCTGCTCACACCCACTAGTCTTTCAGAACGGCAAGGGGCCGGACTGCATTTCCCATGAGGCGCCCGCGCACACAAAATGGCTGCCCAGCCTCACGGGAGATGTAGTCCCGCCGGCCGCCCACGCCCCTCCCGTAAGGCACCGCGCGCGGCAGCGGCCTGGGCAAGGGGCGGGGCGCTGGAGGAACCGTTGGCTGCGGAGCGGTCGATCGTTCCGGGGCGCTGGTAGCCACCACCGGAAGTGGAGGGGGAGGGGCGCACCGGAAGTGGGGCCCGCACCGGCCCACCTATGGGCCCCCCACAAAATTAACTCCGCGTTGCCGGTCTGGGTTCCAGGCCTGCCGCAGAGTGGGGTGGCGGGCAGGGGTGTTGACACAGGGTTGGCGTTGGTCATGCCGGCCCTTTAAGGAGGTGGCCTGGCGGGGGTGGTGTTGGGGTCAGCGCCCAGGCTCAGCCCCCAATGGCGAGATGGGCTGGGCCAGGTTGAGACACTGGTGAGGGGGTCAGCGGTTACCAGGGAGACACAGTTTGCACTGCAGGAAGGAGGCTGTGATGGGGTCAGAGGTCATGGCGGTATCTGAATCAGCGTTCCAAAGGGGTCAGAGGTCACAGGTGGAAGGCCACAACATGGAGGTTACACCCTGGTCAGGGGTTTCCGTGGGAGCTGAGATTATGAAGGGGACAGAAGTCGTGAACTAGATGGGGGTCACCGGGGGGCCAGAGATCCAGTGGGGGTCGGCTGTTGAGGCAGAACTGTCGTTAGCAGTGGTGTCGGAAGTCATGCCGGGGTCAGAGGTTGTGGTGGGGATAAGGACCCAGAATTGGGACTGTTAGACTTGACCTCACTCTGGGATCTCTGGCAACTTGCCCTCCAGCACATTGAGCCAGAACCCACCACGCACGAGACCCACGGGGAGTCGCCTCAGGTGAGGCCATCAGATCTGGGGGTTTGTTGTCTTATCATTAGCCAGTCACCCTTCTGCCTTTCTGCTTCAGAGCGCTGCACTGGATTCATGATGGACGCCTGGTTGCTGAGCCTCACGCCCCAGTAAGGCACTTAGGGTAGGGTGCCAGGGCTGGAGTGGGGTCCCCTGGGGCCTCTGGGATTGTGGAGGAGTCTCCCCAGCCTGTCCTGAGCCACAGACTCTGCCTCCCCGACCATGCCGCACATCGATAACAACATCAAACTGGGCTTCAAGGACGTCTTGCTGAGACCCAAGCGCAGCACCCTGAAATCCCGGAGCGAGGTGAGTGCCCCAGCCCGGCTCTCGCTCTGCTAGGAGTCCCCAGGCCTTCCTGGGGGGAGACCCACAGCCTATCCCTGAGTGGCTGGGGGCAGATATGGTACACCTTTAGGGTTCTTCCTCTGGGTGCCCTGCTAGTGCCTCTCTCCCTCTCTGGCATAGGTGGATCTCCTCCGATCGTTCACCTTCCGCAATTCGCACCAGAAGTATAGTGGGATCCCCATCATCGCCGCCAATATGGACACTGTGGGCACCTTCGAGATGGCCAAAGCCCTTTGCAAGGTACCTGACCCAGGGATCCCCCAGCCATCTCCTGTAGCAGCAGCATCACTGATTCCCCAGCTAATCAGCAAAGAGGATCCACACACCCCCATGTGTTCTTCTTCCCAGCCAATCAGCACTGGGGATCTCCCCCCCCAACCAACCCTGGGGCAAGTCATACACCATGTGATTAACTGCCGCAGCCATTCAGCATCAGGGGTCCCCTCTCCTCCCTGCAGGACTGTAGCAGCATTATAAGCCATGTGATTGACTTCCCAGCCAATCAGCATTAGGGATCCCCCCCTCAAGGCTGAAGCAGCACTGTAAACCACCTGATTAAGTGCACAGCCAATCAACAATCAGGGTGTCCCCTGGAATCTTCCACTATACGAAGGGGAGTTCATGACTATGATTTTGGGCTGTTCCATTATAGTAGGGGGGGAATATTCTCACCTGCTGGTGGGCTGTTCCATTATAGCAAGGGGAAGAATTTTCTTTTCTCTGTTCCATTATATCTTCTTGGTGGGTTGTTCCATTACATGGGGTGGAAGGATATCTCTGTTCCTGGTTGGCAATTCCATTTGGGTGTGGGGGGGATCTTTTCTCTTGGTGGATTATTCCATTATGATGGGATGTCGGGGTGAGGGTGTCCCTCTGCTCAGTGTCACACCCCTATATCCTCCTCTCTCCCCAGTTCTCACTCTTTACTGCCATCCACAAGCACTACAAGCTGGAGGAGTGGAAGGAGTTTGCTGCCCGGGAGCCCGATTGCCTGCAGGTGCATGGGGTGTGGGGGGGTGTTGGCCCCACCCCCCCAACTACCTCCAGGGGAATCAACCCTGATGCTGTCCTGGGAGCCATCCTAGCCCCCGGTTTCCCCCAACTGCCCTAGGGCCGTCTCCTGCCCTATGGGGAGCCATCCCATCCCCTCCCCACTCCCTCCTTATTGCCTCGGGGGGATGTTCTCTCCCCAGAAAACAATCCCAGTACCCCACTGCCAGGGAGTCCCCTTCCCCCACGGATCACCCCACTCTCCCCGTATTGCCCCAGGAAGCCATCCCAACTCCCTCCTCCCCAGATCTTACCCCTGGAGGTCTCTGTCTCGGAGTGTCCTCACATCAGTGTCTCTCTCCAGCACGTGGCGGCTAGTTCAGGCACCAGCCCCTCAGACTTGGAGCAGCTGGAGAAGATCCTGGAGGCCCTACCCCAGGTGCGCTACATCTGCCTAGACGTGGCCAACGGCTACTCGGAGCACTTTGTCCAGTTCCTGCGGGACGTGCGCAAACGCTTCCCCGACCACACCATCATGGTACGCACCGCCTCACCCCCGTCAGTCACACAATCATGGTTGGTACTGCCCCACCCCCACCAGTACCACCATCCTGGTACGTGTCTCTCCCACCCGTCAGTCATACAATCATGGAACGTACCACCCCACCCCCACCAGTCATATAATCATGGTATGTACTGCCCCACCCCTGCCAGTACCACCATCATGGTACGTACTGCCCCACCCTTGCCAGTACCACTATCATGGTATGTACCACCTTCTCCCCTGCCACCCATACAATCATGGTATGTACCGCCCCACCCCCATCAGTCATACAGTGATAGTACGTACCAGCCCAGCCTGCTTACCACCATCATTGTACGTACTGCCCTCTCCCCCACCAATTGCATCATTGTGGTACGTACCGCCCCATCCCTTCCAGTCACAACATGGTGGTACATACTGCCCCCAGCTGGTACCACCGTCATGGTATGTACCCCTTGTCAATCACACCATTGCCCCCGCCCCCCCGACCACCACCACCACTATGGTACATACTCCCCTGTCAGTCACATCATGGTATGAACCCCACCCCTGGTATGTACAGCCCTCCCCACCATGATGGTACGTTCCACTGCCCCCCACCCCAGGGCATGTGGGGACTTGAGGGCTCCCTGCTCTCCCTGCAGGCCGGGAACGTAGTGACAGGGGAGATGGTGGAGGAGCTGATCCTCTCTGGCGCCGACATCATCAAAGTGGGCATTGGACCAGGTGACTGGACCGGGGCGGGGCTAAAACCTGGGGGGCTGGACCATCTCAGCATGATGCGGGGGATACACACACCCCCGGGGGGGGGCTGGGCTATCTCAGCGTGATGGGGGGATACACACCCAGGGGGGTGGGAGGGCTGGACCATCTCAGCATGATGGGGGGTATGGGGGGATATACCCCCTGCAGGGGGTTGGACCATCTCAGCAGGGTGAGGGGGATACACACACTCCAGGGGATGGAGGGAACCGGACCATCTCAGCAGGATGGGGGATCGCCCATTATGGGGTGCTCTCGCCCACTGGTGGGCACTGATGCCCATCCCTGCTGTGTCAAGGTTCGGTCTGTACCACTCGGAAGAAGACAGGGGTGGGGTACCCCCAGCTGAGCGCTGTTCTGGAATGTGCCGATGCAGCCCATGGCCTCAACGGGCACATCATCTCGGTGAGCAGCACCAGATGGCTGGGTTCTATCCAGCGAGGGGAGGGGAGGGGAGGGGAGCGGGGCCAGTGGTTAGAGCAGGGGACTGGGAGCCAGGGCTCCTGGGTTCTATCCGGTGAGGGGAGGCGGGGACCAGTGGTTAGAGCAGGGGACTGGGAGCCAGGACTCCTGGGTTCTATCCGGCTCTGGGAGGGGAGTGGGGTCCAGTGGTTAGAGCAGGGAGGCTGGGAGCCAGGTCTCCTGTGTTCCATGGCTGGCCTGAGCAGGGGAGTGCCTCAGTTTCCCCTCCTGATTGCTCTCTCTGTCTCTCTCCCCTAGGATGGGGGCTGCAGTTGCCCGGGGGATGTGGCTAAGGCGTTTGGTAAGTGCAGCCCACCTCCCACCTTGGGTTGAGCGAGCTGGGGGTCCTGTTTCCTCACTAGCCCCCTCTTGTGGTTGCAGGTGCCGGCGCAGACTTTGTCATGCTAGGGGGGATGCTGGCAGGACACACGGAGTCAGGGGGGGAGCTGATCGAGAGGGGGGGCAAGAAATACAAACTCTTCTATGGGATGAGCTCCGATGTGGCCATGAAGAAATATGCTGGGGGAGTGGCAGAGTACAGGTATGGACCAGGCTCGCTCTGCAGGGGGCGCTGTGAGAGTGGGGCAGGGCCTGTGTGGGGAGGGCAGGGATCGCCCCAGGGGGTACTATCCCCCTGGCAGGAGTGGCAGGAGGTGGAGGTGGGACAGGCTGGGCTCTTCCCGGGAAGTGCTTTGGGGATGGGCTCTCCTCCTGAGGGGTGCCGTAGGGCTCTCTTTCTCTCCCCCGCAGGACGTTGGAGGGCGCTGTGGGGCAGGCTGGGCTCTCTCCCGGGGGGCGCCTGGGGGCCCTCATGCTCTCCTCCTGAGGGGCGCTGTGGGGCTCTCACTCTCCCCCGCAGGGCGTCGGAGGGCTGGGCGGTGGAGGTGCCGTTCCGGGGTGCTGTGGGGCAGGCCAGGCTCTCTCCTGGGGGGCGCCTGGGGGCTCTCATGCTCTCCTCCTGGGTGGCGCCTGGGGGCTCTCATGCTCTCCTCCTGAGGGGCGCCGTGGGGCTCTCACACTCTCCCCCGCAGGGCGTCGGAGGGCGGGGTGGGGGAGGCCGGGCGGCTCTCATGCTCTCCTCCTGAGGGGCGCCGTGGGGCTCTCACACTCTCCCCCGCAGGGCGTCGGAGGGCGGGGTGGGGGAGGCCGGGCGGCTCTCATGCTCTCCTCCTGAGGGGCGCCGTGGGGCTCTCACACTCTCCCCCGCAGGGCGTCGGAGGGCCGGGCGGTGGAGGTGCCGTTCCGGGGCACCGTGGGGCACACACTGCGGGACATGCTGGGCGGGCTCCGCTCCACCTGCACCTACGTGGGCGCCGCGAAGCTGAAGGAGCTGAGCCGCCGAACCACCTTCATCCGCGTCACCCCTCAGGGGCCCCCCCTATTCGGGGCAGGGGATTAGGGGCCCCCAGCACACCCCAGCTCCAGGGGATCAGGGCCCCATAATGAACCCCAACTTCGAGGGTCAGGCCCCACCCTGAGGAGTTTTGCCTATTAATCCCCCTCTTTGAGGGGCTGAGGCCCAGCCACGAGGAAGCCCCTGCCCTGGGCACCCCAATATTTCCCTCCTGAAAGCATGGGAGCAGCAGTGCTCAGCCCTGCCCCCCCAGGATGGAGGGGACAGAGCCCAGGGCTCTTCGAATTTTCCCCGATCATTCTATTCCCCGGAGCAGCCCGACGTTAAGGGGGGCAGAAGGGACCCCTAATTCCCTCCCCGTCTCCTCCCGGGGACCCATCCCCCCAAAGGTCATCTCCCCCTGCTCCGCCAGAGGTGGGCTATGGGGCACCCCCCAAATGAAGGAGACCGAGGCGGGGGACCGGGCTGAATCATGTGCCATATTTATTTGGTGTCACCAATAAGAGGCTTTGTGGGGCACCCTCCGGAGGCTGACGCATCTGTGCCGTGGGGTGGGGGAGCTGCCCCCCCTAGAGGGGGCAGGGTCCCGGGAGCGCAGCAGCCAGGGCACCTGCAGAGAGAGAGGGAGAGTGGGTGAGGGGGGGCGCAGGAGCGCCCCTTGTCCCCAGGGCACACGGAGGGTCACTCACCTGCTGGGGGTCCAGGTGGTCGGAGAAAGTGGGGATCAGGGTGTTGTGCCGCGTGCGCTGGTAGCTGGCCTGGGGGTGACGGGGGCATGTGTGAGTGATGGAGTCTGAGCAGGCCCCCCAAGGAACCCCTGAACCCCAGCCTGAGAGCCAGGCCCCCCGCCTAACCCCTGAACCTCAGCCTGAGAGCCTGCGCCCTCAAGTTACCCCTGAACCCCAGTGTGAGAGCCTGGCCCCCTGAGTGACTCCAGAAGCCCCCTGAAAGCCAGACACCCCACATGACCCCTGAACCCCCCTGAGTGACCATTGAAGCCCCCTGAGACCCTGGCCCCCCCGAGTGACCCCTGAACCCCAGTGTGAGAGCCTGGCCCCCTGAGAGCCAGGCACCCCACATGACCCCTGAACCCCCCTTAGTGACCACTGAAGCCCCCTGAGAGCCCCCTGACCACCCCCAAGCTCCAACTGCCCCCCTTGAGCCCCCAGACCCCCAAGCCGCTCTGCACTAGCCTGAGCCCTGGCAGTGTCTCGTGCCCCCCACCCCCCGCTCACCTTCCTGCGGGGGCAGCAGCTCTCCTCCTCTTCCGACTCCCACACGATGTCCCTGCTTGTGTCTGGAGGGAGCAGGGGGTTACACATGGGGCCCCGGACGCCTGGGTTCAACCCATCCTCAGTCTTGCAGGGGTGCGTGGGAATGGGGACACATGTGCACCCCCCCCAGGGTTCACCACGACACACCCAGGCTCCTGGTTCCTCCTGGCATGGGGGTGGGGACATACACACGGACTCCTGGGTTCACCACTGGCCCCTGCTCCTGTGGGGGCGGGGGGAAAAGGCCAGGGAATGACAACCCGGGGTTCCTCCCTGTCCTGGTCCCTGCGTTGGGGGACCCCACCCGGCCGCCTGGGTTCCCCCCTTTCCGAGCGGCTGATACCTACCCAGGTCCTGCTCTCCGGGCGGCTGGCAGTGCAGGCCAAGGTCGGGGGGCAGCCTGGGGGGAGAGAGGGGTGGGGGTGAGCAGGGCGGAAGGTGAGAGGGGACAGGGAGCGGGGAGGAGACAGACTCACTCTTCCTGCGTGGGCGCCGCCCCCTCTTGGCTCTGCCTCTGGTGGGACCCCGGCGTCCTGGGCAGTGGCTGCTCCGCCCCCGGCTGGGGCAGGGAGGGCGTGCTGGTCACCACGCCTGGGGGGGGAGAAGGGAAGTGGGTGGAGCCTGGGATGAGTTCTGCCCCCCCATGTCTTGCCCCATGAGTCCTGCCCCACCCCCAGGCGCTCCCACCCAGCCACATGCCACACCCCTAAGTGCTCCCACCCACGCGCCCCGCCCCCTAAACACTCCCACCCAGCCACCTGCCCCACCCCCAGGCACTCCCATCCACCCGCGTGCCCCCTCCAAAGCCCCGCCTACCCGTGGGCTGGTGGTGGCCCATGTCGGTGAGGTACTGGGCCAGGACGCCGAGCTGTGGGGGACGCTGGGGGGACCCAGCCAGGGGGCACTCGCTCCAGGCAACCTCCTGCAGCTGAGGGGAGGGGGGATTAGAGTGTGGGATCCAGAACTGACCCCCGCTTCCTTCCCGCTCCCCCCCATTCCCTCCTCATACCTGCTGGAGCTGGGGCGGGGACAGGGAGCTCTCCAGGCGCACCAGATACTCGTAGAGCAGCCCCTCCAGCCCCCCCAGGAAGGGCTCCCCGTATTCGGCCTCCAGCTGTTCCTGCCGCGAGAGCACAGATGTCAGCGTGCGGACCCCCCAACACCATGTGCCCTGGGCACAGCCCCACAGCTCTCTGTGCCCCCCATGTGGCATGCAGCACAGCCCCGGCCCCTTTGGGCCCCCCCAATCCTGTGTGCCCCCTGGCATAGACCCCCAACTCTCTGAGCCCTCCAACCCCCTCACACAGCTCCTTGTGCTCCCAACCTCCTGTGCCCCCCTGGCACAGTCCCCTGTGTGCTCCCTAAACCCATGTGCTCCCTAGCACAGCCCCCCAGCTGTGTGCCCCCAACCCCCTGACATAGCCCCCCAGCTCCCTGCGCCCACATCCTCTGGCACAGCCCCCCAAGCTGCTACACCCCTGGTGCAGCCCCTCAACTCCCTGTGCCCCCCAACCTCCTGCACTCCAGAATAGCCCCCCATGTCTCCAACCCTCTGCGCTCCCCAGCACAGCCCACCAGCGCCCCCAACACACCCACCTTGCAGCACCCCAATTCCTCACCCCCTTTATCCTCCAGAGCCCCTGCAGGCCACGCCCCATCCCAGCTCACCTCCACGTAGGTCTCCCGACGCTGCCGGTCGCTCAGCAGCCCCAGCACCAGCTCCCGGAAGGTCTCCTGGGCTTCTCCCACCAGGCGTAGGTCCCGGGGGGTCTGGGCGGGGGGCAGCAGATGTGAGGCCCTGGGTCCAAGCAGCTGCTGAAATGCAGCCACCTGTAGGGTGCAGCGTGGTGCCCAGCAGCAACACGGCACGGGAACCAGCCACCCCACCCACAGCGCCCCCTACTGCCACACAGGGCCAGCTCTAATTGCCAGGGGAGAGCGCTCCCTGCCTGCAGCACAGCGCCCCCTAGCGCCAGCACTGAGTGTGGGGAGAGAGCGCCCCACTGAGCCCCCCCCCGCAGCACAGCGCCCCCTAGCGCCAGCACTGAGTGTGGGGGGACAGCGCCCCACTGAGGCCCCCCTCCCCGCAGCACAGCGCCCCCTAGCACCAGCACTGAGTGTGGGGGGAGAGCGCCCCACTGAGCCCCCCCCTCCCCGCAGCACAGCGCCCCCTAGCGCCATGCTGGGGCCAGGTCTGACGGGCAGGGAAGAGCGCCCCATGCTGATCCCCGGGCCCCGCTCCCCGCAGCACAGCGCCCCCTAGCGCCATGCTGGGGCCAGGTCTGACGGGCAGGGAAGAGCGCCCCCTGCTGATCCCCGGGCCCCGCTCCCCGCAGCACAGCGCCCGCTGGGGCCAGGTCTGACGGGCAGGGAAGAGCGCCCCCTGCTGATCCCCGGGCCTCGCTCCCTGCTGCGCGGCGCCCCTATTGCCCCGTGGTGCCCCGGGAGCCGTCCCCCGCTGCAGGGCGGCACTCACGGCCAGTGGGTGGCGCTGGTGCTCGCCCTCGGGGAAGTAGGTGTCCACGGCCTGGTAGATCTTCCCGTCCGGCTGCTCCTCCTGCAGCATCCCCATGATCACCTGCGGGGGAGCAGAGCACACTGGGCTAGCGGCCGGAGCTGGGGGGGAGGCGGGGGGGCGGGGACAGCTGCCCCCCCTTACCGCAGCCTGCAGGCCCAGGCGCAGCCGGGCGTAGTGGCGGAAGCAGACGATGTCGGGGGCCGCCTGCCCCACGGCCTCCAGCAGCCCCAGCACCCGCGGAAAGTCGCGCACCTGCCGCGCCCGCACCACTTGCCAGGCGGCCGCCGCGGCCAGCCGCAGGGGGGCGCAGGGGTCCTGGCGGGGGGGGGCCGGCGCGCTGCCCCCCGCCACCCACCTGGGGGGAGAGACAGGAAAGGGGGGGGTCAGAGTGTCTCCTGCCCCGCACCTCCAGGCCCCTCCCCGCCCCACCTCCATCCCTATTGCCCCGCCCCTCCTCTGCAGCGTCTCTCTCTAGCCCCTCCCCTGCCCCAGCTCCAGCCCCACTGCCCTGCCCCCTTTCTCGCCCCGCCCCCTCCATCTCCATTGCCCCGCCCCTTCTCTACCCCGCCTCTCTCTAGCCCCTCCCCCGCCCCACCTCCAGCCCCACTGCCCCGCCCCCTCTCTAGCCCCACCCCCTCCCCACCTCCATCTCTATTGCCCCGCCCCTTCTCTACCCCGCCTCTCTCTAGCCCCACCCCCTCCCCACCTCCAGGCCCCTAGCCCCGCCCTGCCCCCTCTCTAGCTCCTCCCTCGCCCCATCTCCATCCCTATTGCCCCGCCCCTCCTCTAGCCCCGCCCCACCTCCAGCCTCTGGACACGCCCTACTCTACCCCGCTTCTCTCTAGCCCCTCCCCGCCCCAGTGCCTCGCCCCCTCTCTTGCCCCGCCCCCTGCCCCGCTTCCAGCGCCGGCCCCGCCCCTCGTGTCCCCGTCCCCGGACCCTCTTGCTCCCACCGCCGCCCACCCGTTTTCTCCCACGTCACTTCCGGCCATGGCTGGCCCCGGCCCGGGCCGCTGGCGGCTCTTCCTGGCCCGCGCCGCTCGCACCGACCGCCGTCGGGCCAGTCTCCCCACGTCACTTCCGGGTCGGGTTGCGCGAGTCGGGGCCGGAGGCGGCCGAATTAACCTGACTCCAGCCGCAGCCCCGCCCCTTATGGGAGGCCCCGCCCCTTCCTCGTGCCCCCGCCCCCCATCGCGGGTGGCTCCGCCCCGTTGGGCTGGGACCGCCCCGCGCCCCCTCCCCCCCGGGTCCCTGCGCCCCGCGGCGCCGAACCGCTGCTGGCCGCGGCCGGATCCTGCCCCCGGCGGCCCCCGCGGGCGGAGAAAACGTCGGAGGCGGGAGTCTGGGGCAAACGCTTTATTGCAAACGCCGACCAGAGCGCGGGGCGCCGCCGGGTCCCCCCGGCTCGGGAGCGCCCCGGCCCGGCCCCGGCCCCGGCCCGATCCGCCTCCGCCGGGGGGCCGAGCCCCGGGGGGAGCTGCTCCCTCGCTGTGCGGCGGGCGGAAAGCAGGGGCGATGGGTCCGCGGCGGGCAGGGCGGCAGCGTGCGGGACTGCAGCGGGGGCTGGCTGGGTGGAGACGGGGCGGCGAGGGGGGGTGTGGGTGGATGGAGCCGCATTTCAGCGCCGCTGGAGGGGTCGGGGGTGGGGTGGGCAGACGCCCCGCTCCCGCCCGCGGCACAGAGCGCCCCTGTGGGGCTCAGCCGGCCCGGCCGGGGTCTCGGTGACGGGCGGGGGAGTTCCGGGGGTCTGGCTGGCGCGAGGGGGAGCCCCTGGCCGGGGAGCCCCGTGCTGGGGAGCCCCTGGCCGGGGAGCCCCGTGCTGGGGAGCCCCTGGCCGGGGAGCTGCGGGCGGGGGCCGGCTGGCCCCCTGCGGCCGGGGCTACATCCACGGTCACCACCCCGTGGACCTGGGAGAGCTGGGGGCTGTCCAGGCTGGCCACCAGCTGGCGCCGCCCGGCCCGGAGCGGCACGAATGTCTGGCGGAAGGAGATCGTCTGGTGCCCCCCGATGGTCCTGTGGGGAGAGGAGAAGGGGTCAGGGCGCCCGAGTTCCGTCCCAGCCCTGGGAGTGGAAGGGGGTCTAGCGGTTAGAGCAAGGGGAAGTGGGTTGGGTGCTCGGACTCCTGGGTTCCATCCCTGGCTAGGGGAGGGGAGGGGAAGGGAGGGGGTCTAGTGATTAGAGTGGCAGGGGGTGGGGAGACTGGGAGCCAGGACTCCTGGGTTCTCTCCCCAGCTCAGGAAGGAGAATGGGGTCTAGTGGTTAGAACAGGGGGGCCAGGTGCCAGGATTCCTGGGTTCCATCCCTGGCTAGGGGAGGGGAGGGGTCTAGTGATTAGAGTGGCAGGGGGTGGGGAGACTGGGAGTAAGGACTCCTGGGTTCTCTCCCCTGTTCAGGGAGGATAGTGGGGTCTAGTGGTTAGAGGTGTGGGCCTAGGAGCCAGGACTCCTGGGTTCCATCCCTGGCTCTGAGAGAGGAGTGGGAGCGGAGGAGGGTGAGGGGATCACTCACCCTAAGGTTGTGGCCTTGGGGCTGGACACCCCCGACCCCTCCATGTGGAAGACAGCACCCGTCAGCGTCTGGGGCAGTGGGTTCTTGAAGAGGACTTGCACCTGGGTCTCCTTGCCCACCACAGCTGGGCCCAGCACCTGAGAGAGAGAGGTGAGAACCCAGGTGTCCGGGCCAGCTTCGTCCTCCCCCACACAGCCCCCCACCCCCAAGCAATCCCAGGTGTCTTGGTCCTGTCGATTCACCTGCCCTTGCAGTGAGAGAATCCAGGCACCTGGACCCCCCTTTACTGTGAGCCTCAGGTTCCCCCTGCCCCCCACAGTGCAAGAACCCAGGTGTCCGGGCTGTCCCCAGCACTCAGAGAACTCAAGTGTCAGGTTTCCCCCCATAGTCAGAGGACACTGGTGTCTGGGCCCCCCCGGCAGTCAGAGAACCCAGGCATCCGGGCCCCTTACCGTGAGCGTCAGGCCCCCCCATAGTGAGAGAACCCAGGCGTCCGGACCCCTTACCGTGAGCTCCCCCCCTATATAAAACCCAGGCCCCCTTACCATACGTCAGACCCCCCATAGTGAGAGAACCCAGGCGTCCGGGCCCCTTACCGTTAGCGTCAGACCCCCCCATAGTGAGAGAACCCAGGCGTCCGGGCCCCTTACTGTGAGCGTCAGACCCCCCCCATAGTGAGAGAACCCAGGCATCTGGGCCCCCTTACCGTGAGCGCCAGACTCTCCCCCCATAGTGAGAGAACCCAGGCGTCCAGGCCCCTTACCATGAGCGTCAGACCCCCCCCCCCCATAGTGAGAGAACCCAGGCGTCCAGGCCCCCTTACCGTGAGCGCCAGACCCCCCCATAGTGAGAGAACCCAGGTGTCCGGGCCCCCTTACCGTGAGCGCCAGACTCTCCCCCCATAGTGAGAGAACCCAGGTGTCAGGGCCCCCTTACCGTGAGCGTCAGACTCTCCCCCCATAGTGAGAGAACCCAGGCGTCCGGGCCCCTTACCGTGAGCGTCAGACCCCCCCCCCATAGTGAGAGAACCCAGGCGTCCGCGCCCCCTTACCGTGAGCGCCAGACTCTCCCCCCATAGTGAGAGAACCCAGGCGTCCGGGCCCCTTACCGTGAGCGTCAGACTCTCCCCCCATAGTGAGAGAACCCAGGCGTCCGGGCCCCTTACCGTGAGCGCCAGACTCTCCCCCCATAGTGAGAGAACCCAAGCATCCGGGCCCCGTACCGTGAGCGCCAGACTCTCCCCCCATAGTGAGAGAACCCAGGCGTCCGGGCCCCGTGCCGTGAGCGTCAGACTCTCCCCCCATAGTGAGAGAACCCAGGCGTCCGGGCCCCCTTACCGTGAGCGCCAGACTCTCCCCCCATAGTGAGAGAACCCAGGCGTCCGGGCCCCCTTACCGGGAGCGTCAGACCCCCCCCATAGTGAGAGAACCCAGGCGTCCGGGCCCCTTTCCGGGAGCGTCAGACCCCCCCATAGTGAGAGAACCCAGGCGTCCGGGCCCCTTACCGTGAGCGTCAGACCCCCCCCCCCCCATAGTGAGAGAACCCAGGCGTCCGGGCCCCCGTACCGTGAGCGTCAGGTCTGGTGTGCGCAGGCGGAAGCTGTGCTGCTTGGCGAGTACCTGCCCGGTCTGAGCCACCTTCCCCGAGACGCTGAGCATGAGGGCCGCCTGGTCCACGAGGTGGGGCTGGTACTCGGCATAGGACACCACCATGCGGACGGACTGGGCTGCAGGGGGCAAGGAGGGGGTCAGAGAGCCCGGTGGGGGCAGGGGGCAGCTGTCCAAGGGCTGGGGCACCCAGGGTCATGGAGGGGCCGGGGCTGAGAGGATCAATGGGTCAGGAGGGGATCGGGGGTGTGTGTGGGGCTTCTGAGATCAGGGGCTGGGTTTGAGGGTTCGGGGGGATATGCAGTGGTGGGTTGGGTTTGGGGAGAGTTGGGGGGAGAAGGTTTGGGGGGCCCTGGAGGGATGGGTTTGGAGGTACCCATTTTTGCCAGGCAGGAGCCGGTCCTGTTTGAAGTTGCTTTGGGTCACCTCGGCGTAGTTTGGGGTTCTGGGGGGCTGGGCATCGGCGTGCAGGGGATTGGGGAGTTCAGAAGCTGGAGGTTCAGGGTGACTTTGGGGGCTCAGTGGGGTTTGGCTGCGCAGGAGATTGGGGTTCACAGGGATGTGGGGGTGTGGACTGAGACTTAGAAGACAGGGTGGATTTGTGGGTTCGTGATGGGGAGATAAGAGGTTGGGAACCGTGGGGCTCAGGAGATTGGGATTCAGGGGTGTGGATTGAGGTTTTGGGGGTTTAGGAGCTGGGGGGATTTGGGATCCGGCATCAGGGGAATGGATTGTGGACCAGGGTTTCAGGGGATCGGGGTTCAGAGGCATTTGGGGGTGGGTTGGGAGCGCGGGGCCCAGGGGATCAGAGTTGCAGGGAGTCAGGATTCAGGGGGATTCCCTGGGGGCTAGGAGGTCAGGCTTCCGAGGCATTTGGGAGGTGGGTGAGTGGTTTTGTGGCTTCAAGAACTGGAGGATTTGGGCTGGGGTTCAGGGGATGGATTGGGGGTCAGGGTTGCAGACGGTTGGGGTTCAGGGGGATGGATTGCAGGCTGGGGGATCAGGGTTCAGAGACTCTGGGGGGTGGGCTGGGGATCAGGGTATCAGGGCTGCAGGAGATCAGGGCTGCAGGGGGTCGAGGTTCGGGGTGTGGGCTAGGGGGCTGGGGGCTCAGGGCTGCAGGGGGTGGGGGTTCAGGGCTGCAGGGGGCTAGGGTTCAGGGGTGTGAGCTAGGTGGCCAGGGGAATCAGGGCTGCAGGGGGTTGGGGTTTGGGGAGGTGGGCTGGGGGTCAGGGGATCAGGGCTGTAGGGGGCAGGGGTTCAGGGCTGCAGGGGGATCGCTGTTTGGGGGGTGGGCTGGGGGTCAGGGCTGCAGGTGGATTGAGGTTCAGGGGGGTGGGGGCTTGGGGCCAGGGGGTCAGGGCTGCAGGGGGTTGGTGTTTGTGCGGGTGCGCTGGGTGTCAGGGGATCAGGGCTGCAGGGGGTTGGGGTTCAGGGGGGTGGGGGCTTGGGGCTGGTGAGGGGTCAGGGGATAAGGCCTGCAGGGGGATCAGGGCTGCAGGGGGTCAAGGTTCAGGGGGCCGGGGCTCACCTCCTCCCGGCGGGATCTGCACCTGCCGGCTCTCCTGTTTGAAGGTGCTCCCCGTCACGCCCGTGTAGAACATGGGGGCCAGGTGCAGGCTGAGGGCCACGCTGTGGCTGCTGCTGCCCCGGTTGCTCAGGGCCACCTGGATGCTCACGTCCTGGCCCATGATGGCCTCGGAGGTCTCCACGCTCAGCGACACGTCCTCGCCCCAGTCCTTGTTCTTGTAGATGTGCGCCTTGGTGCCGTGCCGTGCCGCCGTCTCCACCGCTTGCCGCTCGGCTTCCGAGCCTGGTGGGGGGGCCACGAGGAGTCAGCGAGGGTGGGAGCTGGGCCTCCCCCGCCGGGACCAGTGTCCTTGGGCAAGGGTGGGCGCTTGTGCGCAAACAGCAGTGCCTGAGCATGCATGGGTGTGCAAACACCAGGGTGTATAAGAAGGTGAGTGTGCAAAGAGAAATGGATGAGTGTGCAAGCAGAAATGGGCGAGTGCAAGTGTGTAAATTCAGAAACAAAAGTGGGTGTGCACGAATGAGCGTGCAAGTGCAGGGGAAATGATCATGAACAGGATTGTGGGTGTGCTAACACGGCAAATCAGGGCACAGGTGTAGGCGTGCGACTGTGTGGAAATGCGTCTGTGGAAGAATGAGAGAGTTCAAGGGCAGAAAACGGAGCATGTGAACAGATGTGTGCGCACGCATGAGTAAGTGTGCAACAATGACCAAGCAAGCATGCAGGTGAACGTATGGGTGCAAACAGAAAAGTGAGTGCTCAAACACAAACGTGAGTGCACAAGAGGGCGTGGGAAGGCCAATAAGCGAGCGTGGAAACGTGTTTGGGGTGCACAGGTGAGCGTACACACGTGGAAAAGTGAGTGTGCAAACATGGTTGCGTGTGCAAAGCGAGCCAGCACATCTGTGTCAGGTTAGTGTGTACCTCGGTATATGAGCGCTCGGCTGTTGCAGGAGCTCGCTGGGGCTCTTTCCCCCACGCATTCCGCTCACCCGCACACCCGACGCTAGCCCAGGCCCGTGTTTGGCACAAGCGGCGAGGAAAGGTGTCCAGATCCGGCCACGCTCAGTCCAGGTCTCAGCGTGTGCCGAGGAGGGGCCGGCCTGGCCCCTGGAATGCCATTCTCCAACTCGGAGATGAGCCAAGACCCAGAACAAACACGAAGGGAACCGGCCGGACAGGGTGGGTTGGTAGGGGTCAAATCCTCCTGGAAATGCTCCGTGTGAGGGGAGTGTCACAACTCTGCACGGGCCAGCTTCCCAGGAGAGCGTGGTCGCACTGAGCGTCTCACTCCTGCCGGTGTGCAGCAAGAAAGCAGACGGCGATGGGCGGGGTCCAGGGATGGAGCGTACAATGGATCGACAGCGCCCAGGGAGACGGGAGCACGCAAACCTGGACGGGTGAGGGCACAAGAACGAGCGTGCAAACAAAACCAGCAGGCAAGCATGCAAATGGAGTGCGCAAGACATGCAGACAGGAGCCTGCAAACACTGACACTTGAGCGTGCAAACAGGATGGTGAGAGAGGACAAGAGTGCCCAGTGAGTGGGTATATACGTAAGAGAGTCCAAAGGAGCGTGCAAGAGTGAGTGTGCAAATGAAGAAGAGGGCATGTGAAGTATGCAACAGTGAGCATGCTCGTGCAGGAGAGGGCGTGTGCGGCATGCCAGAGCCAGTGTGCAAATGCAGCCGAGGTGCCATGAGCAGGCGTGCACGGTAAGGATGAAAGCCTGCGTGGCCGAGCGTGCACATGCAAGTGTGAAAGGCGGTGCGAGGGCGGGGGGCCCGGCCCCCCCGGCGCGGCCTCCCTCGTGCCCGACGCATACCCTCAGGGTGCTTGTAGAGATCGGTGATGTCGTGACGCTGGTGGGAGCCCACAGCCTTGGTGCTGATCAGGTGCCCGATGGCCTTTTCCTCCACGTAGACGATCTTGTAGGTGCCATCGGCCTGGCGCTGCCAGTAAACCTTGTCGCTGTTCACCTGGGGGGCGGGGATTGGGTCAGCGCCCCATGGAGACCCCTCCCCTTCACAGCCCCCATGGACTGTCCCCGCCCCTTCGCAGCCCCTAGGGAGAGACCCCGCCCCAACACGGGGTCCCACAGAGAGACCCTGCCCCCACGGAGACCCCTCCCCTTCACAGCCCCCCCCCCCCCCCAAATACTGATGTTCATCTTTGGGGGGAGCAGACTTTTTTGCCCTCCCCCCCCAATACCTCAGCAAAGATGAAGGGCGCGTCGTACTTCAGATACACCTGCCCTTTCTTAATGGCCTCCACCGAGCAGGGCCCGCAGCAGAAGATACCTGGGGGGAGAGGTTAAGGGGGTCGGATAGGGGCAGGATTGGGGGAAGAGGTAGTGGGGGTGGGAGACACACACACAGTCACACCCAACAGCCCCTGTGGGGCTCAGGGCCCCAAAAGCCACATTCCTGTTGTCCTGGGGAACTCCCCAACACCGGATCACACCACCAGAGGGGAAGTGCGCCCTGGGGGAGGTGCATTGTGGGAGGGGGCTTCTCACGCTCCAGCAGAAGGGGACCCCTCTGTCCAAGACCCCCCCCATCTCATCCCCTGGCTTCGCCTTCAAACCTATTCCTCAGCCTCCCCCTCTTCTCCCCTCCCCCTTCTTCCTCTGCCCTCCACCCCCTTGCTTCCACCCCCTCTGCCCCCCACTCACCACTGCTGGTCTCTTGGGGGGTGGCATCGACCACTTGCCACCCGTCATACCCCGAGGGCAGGTCGGGCCGGGTCATCCAGCAGTCATTCCACACGTGGAAATTCCTAAGGGGCAGAGCGGGGGGGTTACCGGTTGCATCAGAGCCCCTCTTCTCCCCCCCACAGCCAATGCCTCCCTCTCCACAGCGCCTCCTACTGGAGTAGCCGGGAGCTGCCCCCCGGTGGCCGCCCCCTCACCAGACGGAGTCGGCGTTGAGCCGTTCCAGCGGTTTCATGTTCTCGTCGAAGTAGATGTCCATGGTGAGGCTGACGTCCGTGTCGTGGGCCGAGTTGTAGTTGGTGACCGTGCGGGTGGCGATCCCAAAGCACCGCAGGACTGGGGAGGGGGGCAGAACGGGGGTGTGTGTGTCGGGCTGTCGGGAGGGACACAGCCCCCCTACCCCCTGCAGGATCCCCCCAGCGCTAGCCCTGTCTGGCCTCTTCATTCTTTCCCTCCATTCTTTCATTCATTCATTTCCTCCCTCCCTCTTTCCCCTCCATCGCTTCATTCCTCCCTCCCCTCCTTCATCCTCCATCTGTCTCCATCCCCTCCGTCTCGCTCTCTCTTCCCTTCCCTCGGTTGTTTCATTCCTCCTCTCCTTCCGCCCCCCACGCCTCTCTTCTTTCCTTCTAGTCCTCCTTTCTCTGCATTCCTCCATTCCCTCCTTCTCGCAAGCCCGGCTTTCATCCCCTCTCCTTGCTTTTCATTCCCTCTATTCTTCCTCTCCCGGCCAGTGCTTCTCTCTCTCCAGTCTTTCCTTTCCGCTTCCCATTCGTTCATTCCCTCGGCCCCCTACTGACCAGTCAGACCACAACCTCCCCCCAGCGGTGCCCCCTGGTGGCCAGCCAGGCCTGGCGTGTTCCCGCACAGCGGTGCCCCCTGGTGGCCAGCCAGGCCTGGCGTGTTCCCCCCCAGCGGTGCCCCCTGGTGGCCAGCCAGGCCTGGCGTGTTCCCGCACAGCGGTGCCCCCTGGTGGCCAGCCAGGCCTGGCGTGTTCCCCCCCCAGCGGTGCCCCCTGGTGGCCAGCCAGGCCCGGTGCTCCCCCAGGTGGTGCCCCCGCAGTGGCCAGTGGGGGGCAGTGGTGCGCCCTGATTACCAGTTGTGACGACGCCGGCGAAGACCCAGCACTGGCCGTAGAGGACGGGGTAGCCGGTCCGGTGGTACTGCCGGAGGATGTCCACGCTGCCCACCCAGGCCGAGGGGTTGGTGCCCCGCGAGTAGTCACCCGTCCAGTTCCCCACCAGCACCCCGTTGTCGTCCAGGGAGTTCACCTGCCCCACGCCGGGGGGGGAGAGAGAGCGGTGAGGGGGGGTAGAAAGGTCAGGGGAGGGACTGCAGGGACAGACAGGCGCGGAGGGTGGAGGTCAGGATGGGATGGGATGGGGGGGTGGAGGTGCCCCCCCCGCCCATGGGCCCCTCCTCCACTCACCATGGCGGAGACGACGCGGGAGACGCTGATGGGGTCCCCGCGCCCCGAGTGGGGCATCCCGCGCCGGTCCAGGATGTACAGGCAGGCGTCCAGCAGCCCCCGGTCAAACTGGGGGGGGAAGAGACGGGGGTCAGTGCCGAATAGCCCCCTCCGGCCCGGGGACCCCTCTCCTGGGGTGCCCCCTCCTCCATCCCCCTCCCTTCTCCTCCTCCTGCCCCAGGACCCCTCCCCTGGGGTATGCCCTACCCCATCCCCCTCCTGCTCCAGGACCCCCCCATCCCTGCCCCTCGGTCCCACCTGCCCGTAGTTCCAGGTGCGCTCCCCGATTTGGCTCTCGGTGCCGTAGTAGATGCGCCCGCTCTCGTTGAGCACGTATTCCTCCAGCCAGTCGTCCTGTGGCAGGTACACGGCGTCCTCTGGGGGAGGCAGGGGGGGAGAGAGCCCGTCAGCTCCGCCCACTGCCCTTGGCCCCACCCACTGCATCACAGCCCCACCCACTGCCCCTCGGCCACGCCCACTGCCTCACAGCCCCACCCACTACCCCTCGGCTCTGGCCTCTCCTGCCCTAGATACACCCTGTCCCCTTTGTCCACACTGAGTCCCCTTGGGAGGAAGGGACCATCAGTCTGACACCGGCCCCGCAGTCCCACCCTTCCCCCATGGCTCCACCCCAAACCTTCCCGCTCCAGGTGTTCCGGCTCCCCCCATGTGCTGTGAGCTTCCCCCTGGCCGTGCCCCCATGCCCTGCGAGCCTGACCCCCAGCGGCTGCAAGCTTCCCTCCGGCAGCGTCCCCACGCCCCCCACGCCCTGCGAGCCTGACCCCCAGCGGCTGCAAGCTTCCCTCCGGCAGCATCCCCGCGCCCCACAGGCCCTGCGAGCCTGACCCCCACGTGCTTCCCCCCGGCCGCTGCGCCCCACTCACCGCGGCACCAGGGGTTGAAGAGGATGTAGATCTCGTTGCGGGGGTCAAAGGGCATCTGGTACTCGCCTGCCCGGCTCCGGGTCTTGACGCTGAAGCGGTACTTGCCGATGACGGCGGTGGGGGCGGTGTTGACCCGCAGGGACAGGCTGTTGCTGCTAGAGTCCCTCACTTCGGCTGCCCAGCCCAGCCCAGGCAGCGGGGCCCCCACCGGCACCAGGATGTGGGTGGCCTTGGACACCTGGGGCGTGGGGCCTGGGTGGGGGAGAGACAGGAAGTCAAAGCCCCCGCCCTGTGGTCAGCCCCCCTGCAGCCAGCCCCCTGCCTCTCCCTGCCCAGCCCCTCTCTATTCCCTGACACCCCACTCCCCAAGCACTCCGGCCAGCCCCCCGCCTCTCCCTGCCCAGCCCCTCTCTATTCCCTGACACCCCACTCCCCAAGCCCTCCGGCCAGCCCCCCGCCTCTCCCTGCCCAGCCCCTCTCTATTCCCTGACACCCCACTCCCCAAGCCCTCCGGCCAGCCCCCCGCCTCTCCCTGCCCAGCCCCTCTCTATTCCCTGACACCCCACTCCCCAAGCCCTCCGGCCAGCCCCCCGCCTCTCCCTGCCCAGCCCCTCTCTATTCCCTGACACCTCATCCCCCAACCAGCCAGCCAGACCTCCACCAACTCTTCCCCCCTCTGGCCAGCCCCTTCCAGGAGAAACCTACAATCCATCCCCCCCACACTCTGTCCATCTACCCCCCCCCGCCATTCTCTACAGATGGACCAGTCACCCCCATGTGCCCCCATCCCTGGGCCCAGACACCCAGAGGTATCTGATCTCACATAGCATAGGACTGGAGGGGCACTGCTGGGGAGAAGCTTGCAGCCCCAGGCTGTTCCTAGCCAGGGGCACTGCTGGGGGGAAGCTCATAGGCCCGGCATATCCCTGGCCGGGGCCACTGCTGGGGGGAAGCTCACAGGCCTGGCGTGTCCTGCCATCCCAGCCCTGTGATCTCAGCTCCACCAGCAGGTCTGGGCAGGAGGGGCCCCTCCCAAACCTGTTCGACCCGAGTGTGGGGGAGCGGGGGTGGGGCCCAGTGGGGTGCGGTTGCCCCGCTTCCCTTCCACACCCTGCTGCCTCCCACACCCTGTCTCTCAGCCATCTTGGGGCTGCCACGCTGTGAGCTGCTCCCCAGCAGTGACCCCAAGCTGGGAAAGTGGGGTCTCCAGGGCTGCGAGCTTCCCCCCAGCAGTGCCCTCAGATGGGACAGGGGGCGAATCGGGTGTTGTGAGCTCCCCCACACTGGTGCCATGTGGCCTTGGGGTCTGGCCAAGCAGAGAGGGGTGTGGGAATGTGGCCACCACATCTGGGGAGCTGCCGGTGCAGTCGGGCCGCTAATGATGGGGTGGGTTTGTGGCCCCAGGGCGTGGGACCTGGGAAGGGGGTTAATTACAAAGCCAGCTGGGCTGGCAACCAAGGGAATGGGCCACGCCTCACAGCCAGGCCCATGGAGAGGCAGAATTCCTTCCCCACCCCGCCGATCAGCCTCGGCCTCTCATAAGAACAGCCAGACTGGGTCAGACCAAGGGTCCATCTAGCCCAGGGCCCTGTCCTCTGACAGTGGCCAACGCCAGGTACCCCAGAGGGAATGGAAGACCAGGTGATCATCCAGTGACCCTCCCCTGTCTCCCATTGGCCCCTGGCAAATAGAGGCCCGGGCCACCTATCCTGGCTAATAGCCATTGATGGACCTGTCCTCCATGAATTTATCTAGTTTTTTTTTATCCCTGTTATAGTCTTGGCCTTGACAACATCCTCTGGCAAGGAGTTCCCCATGTTAACTGTGCATTGTGTGAAAAAAAATACTTCCTTTTGTTTGTTTTAAACCTGCTGCCTGTTAATTTCATTGGGTGACTCCTGGCTGTCGTGTTATGAGAAGGGGTAAATGACACTTATTCACTTTCTCCGCACCCGTCATGATCATATCCCCCTACCCCGAGTCATTTTTTTCCAAGCGGAAATGTCCCAGTCTTATTAATCTCTCCTCATACGGCAGCCGTTCCAGATCCCTCATCATTTCTGTTGCCCTTTTCTGAACCTTTTCCAATTCTAATAGGTTTTTTTGAGGTGGGGCGACCAGAACCGCATGCAGGATTCAGCGGGGGGCGCTGTGGGGAGTGGGGCCGGAGATCCAGCAGTGCAGGGTCCTGTCTCCCATCAGGTGATGCCATGGGGCATTGGGGAGAAGCACAGGGAGGCAGGGGGCACTATGGGATGGAAGGGGAGAGCGGCAGGGGGAGTTGCAGGGCACCGGGGGCTGCTGGGGGCAGTAGGGGGCAGTAGGGGGTGCCAGATGGCAGCAGAGGGCAGCGAGGGCAGGAAAAGGGCAGCAGGGAGGTAGCAGGGGGTGCTGGGGGGCAGCAGGACGTAGAAGGGGCCCCAGGGATCAACTCTCACCAATGAGCAGCTCCAGGCAGACCTGATGCAGCCCGGAGCAGCAGGGGGTGCTGGGGAGCAGCAGGGGGCAGCAGGGTGGAAGGAGGGAGCAGCAGGGTTGCAGTGGGGGGCGTCTCTCACCAACAAGCAGCTCCAGGCAGATGCAGTGCAGCTCGGGGTCGTAGGGGGAGCAGTGGGGGGTGGGAGCAGTAGGGGGGCGCTGCAGGGGGCAGCGGGGAGCCCTGGAGGAGCATGGTGGGGTGTCTCTCACCGACGAGCAGCTCCAGGCAGACGCGGTGCGGCTCGGGGTCATAGGGGGAGCAGTGGGGGGTGGGAGCAGTAGGGGGCACTGGGGAGCAGTGGGGGGCGCTGCAGGGGGCAGCGGGGGGCCCCGGGGGAGCATGGGGGGGTGTCTCTCACCGACGAGCAGCTCCAGGCAGATGCGGTGCAGCTCGGGGTCGTAGGGGGAGCAGTGGGGGGTGGGAGCAGTAGGGGGCGCTGGGGAGCAGTGGGGGGGTGCTGCAGGGGGCAGCGGGGGGAGCATGGGGGGTGTCTCTCACCGACGAGCAGCTCCAGGCAGACGCGGTGCAGCTCGGGGTCGTAGGGGGAGCAGTGGGGGGTGGGAGCAGTAGGGGGCGCTGGGGAGCAGTGGGGGGCGCTGCAGGGGGCAGCGGGGGGCCCCGGGGAGCATGGGGGGGTGTCTCTCACCGACGAGCAGCTCCAGGCAGACGCGGTGTGGCTCGGGGTCGTAGGGGGAGCAGTGGGAGGTGGGAGCAGTAGGGGGCGCTGGGGAGCAGTGGGGGGAGCATGGGGGGGCGTCTCTCACCGATGAGCAGCTCCAGGCAGATGCGGTGCAGCTCGGGGTCGTAGGGGGGAGCAGTGGGGGGTGGGAGCAGTAGGGGGTGCGGGGGCTGGGGGAGCAGTGGGGGCGTCCAGGCTGGCTTAGGGGGAGCGTAGGGGGCAGGGGAGCGTAGGGGGCCTGGGGAGCAGTGGGGGTGGGAGCAGTGGGGGCCTGGGGAGCAGTGGGGGGAGCATGGGGGGTGTCTCTCACCGACGAGCAGCTCCAGGCAGACGCGGTGCAGCTCGGGGTCGTAGGGGGAGCAGTGGGGGGTGGGAGCAGTAGGGGCGCTGGGGAGCAGTGGGGGGAACATGGGGGGGCGTCTCTCACCGACGAGCAGCTCCAGGCAGACGCGGTGCGGCTCGGGGTCATAGGGGGAGCAGTGGGGGGGTGGGAGCAGTAGGGGGCGCTGGGGAGCAGTGGGGGGCAGCAGGGGGGGGAGCATGGGGGCGTCTCTCACCGACGAGCAGCTCCAGGCAGACGCGGTGCGGCTCGGGGTCGTAGGGGGAGCAGTGGGAGGTGGGAGCAGTAGGGGGCGCTGGGGAGCAGTGGGGGGAGCATGGGGGGAGCATCGGGGGCGTCTCTCACCGACGAGCAGCTCCAGGCAGACGCAGTGCGGCTCGGGGTCGTAGGGGGGAGCAGTGGGGGGTGGGAGCAGTAGGGGGTGCTGGGGAGCAGTGGGGGGAGCATGGGGGGCGTCTCTCACTGACGAGCAGCTCCAGGCAGACGCGGTGCGGCTCGGGGTCATAGGGGGAGCAGTGGGGGGTGGGAGCAGTAGGGGGCACTGGGGAGCAGTGGGGGCGTGCAGGGGGCAGCGGGGGCGGGGGAGCATGGGGGTGTCTCTCACCGACGAGCAGCTCCAGGCAGACGCGGTGCGGCTCGGGGTCGTAGGGGGAGCAGTGGGGGGTGGGAGCAGTAGGGGGCGCTGGGGAGCAGTGGGGGGAGCATGGGGGGGCGTCTCTCACCGACGAGCAGCTCCAGGCAGACGCGGTGCGGCTCGGGGTCGTAGGGGGAGCAGTGGGGGGTGGGAGCAGTAGGGGGCGCTGGGGAGCAGTGGGGGGAGCATGGGGGGGCGTCTCTCACCGACGAGCAGCTCCAGGCAGACGCGGTTCGGCTCGGGGTCGTAGGGGGAGCAGTGGGGGGTGGGAGCAGTAGGGGGCGCTGGGGAGCAGTGGGGGGAGCATGGGGGGGCGTCTCTCACCGACGAGCAGCTCCAGGCAGACGCGGTGCGGCTCGGGGTCGTAGGGGGAGCAGTGGGGGGTGGGAGCAGTAGGGGGCGCTGGGGAGCAGTGGGGGGAGCATGGGGGCGTCTCTCACCGACGAGCAGCTCCAGGCAGACGCGGTGCGGCTCGGGGTCGTAGGGGGAGCAGTGGGGGGTGGGAGCAGTAGGGGGCGCTGGGGAGCAGTGGGGGGAGCAGGGGGGGGGTCTCTCACCGACGAGCAGCTCCAGGCAGATGCGGTGCAGCTCGGGGTCGTAGGGGGAGCAGTGGGGGGTGGGAGCAGTAGGGGGCGCTGGGGAGCAGTGGGGGGAGCATGGGGGGGCGTCTCTCACCGACGAGCAGCTCCAGGCAGACGCGGTGCAGCTCGGGGTCGTAGGGGGAGCAGTGGGGGGTGGGAGCAGTAGGGGGCGCTGGGGAGCAGTGGGGGGAGCATGGGGGGTGTCTCTCACCGACGAGCAGCTCCAGGCAGACGCGGTGCGGCTCGGGGTCGTAGGGGGAGCAGTGGGGGGTGGGAGCAGTAGGGGGCGCTGGGGAGCAGTGGGGGGAGCATGGGGGGGGTCTCTCACCGACGAGCAGCTCCAGGCAGACGCGGTGCAGCTCGGGGTCGTAGGGCTGCTGCAGCTGCAGGCGGATGTCGAAGGGCTGCCCCCGGCGCACGATCAGCTCGTCGTACTCGAACTCGTCCGTATGGTGGGCTCGGCGCGTTGCCCCCGAGCGCTGCCCCATCAGGTCCACGCCGCTCACCACCAGCATCCCCTCTGCGGGACAGGGCGCCGGTCAGTGGGGAGCCCCAGTGGGGGAGGGGTGGGGTCAGCAGGGGATCCCCCAGACCCAGAAAAGGGAACCCCAGTGGCGGAGGGGTGGGGTCAGCAGGGGACCCCTGAGACCCTTAAAGGGGAACTCCAGAAGGTGGAGGGGCAGGGGACACCCCAAGTCCAGAATGTGGACCACTGGAAATGCAGCGGGAACCCCCATGGCAGTGGGGGGAGGGGAAGGGGCCAGATGCCCAGAAGTTGTATGAGGGGGGAGCGTCAGCAGGGGCCCCCCGGAGCAGGAGGACTGTTCTGGGGGGAAGGGGGACCCTGGGACAGGGGATCAGAGTGGGGCAGGTTGCTCCGGGGGGGGGGGAAAGAGGAGTGAAGGGGTCCCACGTGGAGGCTGTGGTTCCTGGTGGGGAATTGGGGTGCCATGAGGGGACATGGGGGGCCCCAGGTGGACTCTGGTGGGGAGTAGCATCCAGTTTCTCCTCCACTCCCTGCTGCACTCAACAGCCACCTGGGGGACCTCCTGCTCCAGGGGCTGCGAGCTTCCCTGCAGCGGTGCCTGGATCAAGCCCAGCACTGGTTCAGCAGCATGGGGGACCCCTCCCGCCCCCAGGGAACCCCCCTCACCCCGGATGACTGGCTGGGCCGGCCGGGACCCCGGCACGTCCCCCGGCGCCGGCCCCCAGTCTGTGTCATCCCTGGGCCCCGCGCAGCATTTGCAGCATCTGCAGAATTTGCTGAAAAAGGATCGCTTCCTCCTTTCGGGCTGGGGATCAGGGGGGCCGGGCTGGTGCACCCGGTAGCTGGCACTCGCCCACCTCCCCACATCCATCCGGGTATTGGGCTCCGGCATCCTGCCTGGGGTGGAAGAGAGACAAGCAGTGAACACAGTTCCCCGGCGCTGTTATATACGGCTGTTCCCCAGCTGCGCCCCAGAGGTGGCTGCGTTTCAGCACTGGGCACATCACTTCTTGACATGTGTCAGGGGGAGGGCTGCCTGGCTGGCGGACCGCACAAACCGAGCGATGGGGAAATCGGCCTCGGGACAGTGAGGAACTAGGTCAGAGATGCTTCACCCTCGTTCTGCGTCAGATGCCGAGTCTGAGCCGGGGGGGGGAACCCAGGAGTCATGACTCCCCCACTTCCAGCCCTGCTGTAACCACTAGACCGCACTCCTCGTGCAGAGAACCCAGGCGTCCTGAGTGGGGCATGCAGAGCTGGGTGCTCGCCTGGCCTTTGGGAGGGGGAGGACGGTTCCTGGAGCCAAATATCAGTTTCCTTCCCTGGTGTGCACCCTGCCCCTGGCCCTAGCTGGAGAGAGTCCAGATGTGAACAGCTGCTGGGAGGGCCAGGGCTGGGAACACAAGAGTGGGGGAGGGGGGCATGGGGAGGGATGGATGGATGGCCGGACAGGGGGCCAGACGGGGGCGTGGATGGACAGACAGACGGAGGGATGTGTGTGAGGACTAGAGAGATGGACGGATGTGGGGACAGATAGACAGATGGGGGTGTGGGGATGGACAAGCAGACAGCGAGGGTGTGGGGATGGGGAAGGACGGACAGGCAGAGGGATGTGCATGGGGATGGATGGATGGACAGACGGACATAAGAGTTTGTATGGCAATGGATGGATGGATGGGTGGATGGACAGAAAGAGGGATGTGCATGGGGATGGATGGATGGATGGACGGACAGATGCAGGGCTGTGGGGGAGATGGATGGATAGAGGGGCATGTAAGGGGACAGACGGATGGACAGACAGAAGGCTGTAGGAGGATGGATGGATGGACAGATGGAAGGCTGTGGGGGGGATGGATGACCGGATGGAGAGATGTGCATGGAGACAGACAGACGAAGGGACAGACAGACAGGGCTGTGGGAGGCGTGGGTGGACAAATGGATGGAGGGACGGGTATGGGGACGGAAGGAGGGACAGACAGACAGGGCTGTGGGGGGTATGGATGGATGGAGTGACGTGTATGGGGACGGACAGACAGGGCTGTGGGGGGGATGGATGGATGGATGGACGGACGGAGTGACATGTATGGGGATGGACAGACAGGGCGGTGGGGGGGACGGATGGACGGGTATGGGGACGGACAGACAGGGCGGTGGGGGGGATGGATGGATGGATGGAGTGACGTGTATGGGGACGGACAGACAGGGCGGTGGGGGGACGGATGGACGGGTATGGGGACGGACAGACAGGGGGGTGGGGGGGACGGATGGATGGAGGGACGGGTATGGGGATGGAAGGAGGGACAGATAGACAGGGCGGTGGGGGGGATGGATGGATGGACGGACGTGTAAGGGGACGGACAGACAGCCGGGGAGGTGACGTCGTGGTGGCCCTGGGAGGGTTCGGGGGGTCCCCCCGCAGCCGGGGGGCAGGCATGGCAGTGGTGCTGGGTGCGAGGAGAGCCCAGAGGCAGCCAGGCTGCAGTACCCGGCTCGGGCACTGGGGGGGGCTGTGATGTGGGGGCGTGGCCAGGGCCCAGGGAAGCCAATGGGAGCGCAGGGCAGGGTTGGGGCAGAGGGGTCGGAAGGGGTTACCCTCTGCCCAGGAACCCCACCACACCCAATGGGAGCCGGTCCCAGTGATGTCATGGCGGGGGGCGGGGCTCCAGTCCCACCTCCTCACGGAGTGGAAATTTAACGGGGATTCGAGGAATTCGATGACGACTCTGGAACCCAGGAGTCCTGCCTCCCACACTGTGCTCTAACCACTAGTCCCCCTCCCCTCTCCGACCCGGGGAGAGAACCCAGGAGTCCTGCCTCCCCACACTGTGCTCTAACCACTAGTCCCCCTCCCCTCTCGGACCCGGGGAGAGAACCCAGGAGTCCTGCCCCCCACACTGTGCTCTAACCACTAGTCCCCCTCCCCTCTCCGACCCGGGGAGAGAACCCAGGAGTCCTGCCCCCCACACTGTGCTCTAACCACTAGTCCCCCTCCCCTCTCCGACCCGGGGAGAGAACCCAGGAGTCCTGCCCCCCACACTGTGCTCTAACCACTAGTCCCCCTCCCCTCTCCGACCCGGGGAGAGAACCCAGGAGTCCTGCCCCCCACACTGTGCTCTAACCACTAGTCCCCCTCCCCTCTCCGACCCGGGGAGAGAACCCAGGAGTCCTGCCCCCCACACTGTGCTCTAACCACTAGTCCCCCTCCCTCTCCGACCCGGGGAGAGAACCCAGGAGTCCTGCCCCCCACACTGTGCTCTAACCACTAGTCCCCCTCCCCTCTCCGACCCGGGGAGAGAACCTAGGAGTCTTGCCCCCGCATCTAGCCACTAGTCCCCCTCCCCTCCCAGAGCTGGAGATAGAACCCAGGAGTCCTGACACCCAGCCACCCCCCTGCTCGACTTCCATCTAAGGCACTCCACACCCCTCCCCCCCTTCAGTGGCTGAGGACCAGGGCTCTGGGGACGGGACCCGGGAGAGTCTGCCAGGGCCCAACTCACCCCCAGGCTAAGCACCCCACAACCCCAGCTCCCCAAAACGCCCAGCTCCCAAATTCCACCCCATTCCTTCCCCAGTCCGCAAACATCCCAGCCCCCCAAAATCCCCAGCCACTCGTCCCCCTGCCCCCAAATAACCCAACACCTCTTCCCCCAGCACCCCAAACTTCTCAGCAACTGTTCCCGCAGCACCCGAATATCCCAGCACCTCACCCCCAGCACCCCAAACTTCTCAGCAACTGTTCCTGCAGCACCCGAATATCCCAGCACCTCACCCCCAGCACCCCAAACTTCCCAGCCCCTCTTTTCCCAGCCCCCCAAGCCCCCAGCACCTCTTCCCCCAGCACCCGAATATCCCAGCACCTCACCCCCAGCACCCCAAACTTCCCAGCCGCTCTTCCCCCAGCACCCCAAACTTCCCAGCCCCCCAAGCCCCCAGCACCTCTTCCCCCAGCACCCGAATATCCCAGCACCTCACCCCCAGCACCCCAAACTCCCAACATCTCTTCCCCCAGCCCCCTAAACTCCCAACATCTCTTCCCCAGCCCCCTAAACTCTCAGCACCTCTTCCCTCAGCCCCCCGAATATCCCAGCCCCTCTAACTCCCAGCCCCCCAAACTCCCAACATCTCTTCCCCCAGCCCCCTAAACTCCCAACATCTCTTCCCTCAGCCCCCCGAATATCCCAGCCCCTCTAACTCCCAGCCCCCTAAACTCCCAACATCTCTTCCCCAGCCCCCTAAACTCCCAACGTCTCTTCCCTCAGCCCCCCGAATATCCCCCCCTCTAACTCCCACCCCCAACTCCCAACATCTCTTCCCCCACCCCCTAAACTCCCAACATCTCTTCCCCAGCCCCCTAAACTCTCAGCACCTCTTCCCCCAGCCCCCCGAATATCCCAGCACCTCTTCCCCAGCCCTCCAAACCTCCAGCCCCGCTTCCCCCAGCCCCCCGAATATCCCAGCCCCTCTAACTCCCAGCCCCCCAAACTCCCAGCCCCGGAGCCCGCACTCACTGGCCGGGCGCTCGCTGAGCTCTGGGGCCAGGCGCTGCGCGCTCCGGAGCTGGGAGCCGGGGGGGAGGGGGCGGGGCCGGGGGCGGGGCCGCAGGGGGGCGGGAGGGTCCGGGAGGGTCCACACCTAGCGACCCGCGAGTCACCCGGGAAGGGGCGGGAGGAGCCGGGTGACCTCAGCTGCCCCCAGGCGCTTCCTCTAGCGGGGGAATACCCTGTCCATCCCCCCTCCCCCAAGACACCCCCTCCCCACGCTGCACCCCCATCCCCACCCTGCAGCCCCATCCATCTCCCCACCCCTGCCCCGAGACAACCCCGGTTCATCCCCACCCCCTACATACCCCACACCCCCGGTCATCCCCGCACTCCCTCCCCAGCCCCACCTCCCCGCCTATCACCTACCTCTGTTCCCTCCCCCCCCCAGTCTCTCTCTCCTGATGGACACCAGCTAATCTAGCTCCATTCGCCCCCCCTCTGTGCATCCACCCCACTCCACTCCGCAGAGGATGTGCTGTAGGGAGCCCCCCAGTCCCCTGGTGGCTGGGGGGACCCCCAAGCCCTTGGCTTCCCTGCTGTAACCAGCTCCCTGAGGGCGAGGCAGTTTCTCCTGCTCCCCGAAAGCTGCCGGGCAGGTAAATGGCCCCCAGGAACCATTCCCCACATTGCTGAGAGAGCTGTGAGAGAACCCAGGAGTCCAGCCTGCCAGGCTCCCTGCTCTCACCACTGGACCTCCCTCCCCTCCCAGAGCAGGGACAGAACCCAGGCATCCCGGACGGATGCTGATGGGGCTGCATTGGGACAGGCCCTGGGAAGAGAGTGAGGCTGGAGGGCGGGTATTGTCTCAGCTGGGGGCAGAGGGGCTTGGGGCATCTCCCCCACCCAGAACCCCCCAGCCTGCCCCTCCTCCCAGCAAGCCCCAGAGATGCTCATTAGGGCCCCAAATGTCCCCCTCCCTGGTGCATTCGGGCCAACGCTGGAACAGAAAAACCTGCCCAACCTGCCCCATGGAGCCCAGGGATTCTCCCCCTGCAGGGAGGGCTCAGAGCCAGCCCCAGGGTAGGGGCCTGGCTGGCTCAGGGGGGCAGAGAATGGGACACAGGGCCTCCGCCCCCAGCTCGACCGGTGCCCCTCACTCCCGACCTGCAGCCCGTGCTAGCCCAGCCCTGCCCGTGCCCCTCGCTCCCCACCCACAGCCCCTGCTAGCCCAGCCCTGGGCTCCCCCTCCACCCAGTCAGGAATTTGGGAGGAGGCTCTGAAGTGTCTCCCCCTTGAACCTGGCTCCCATCCCAGGGTTCGTGGCACTGTGGGGCTGGGGAGTGGAGTGGGAGGAGGGGCTGGCCGGGTGTTGCCCCATATCACTCAAGGCCTGATGTGCCAGGAAACACCCAGGATGTGGTAACCTCTGCAGTGGCCCCAGTTTCGTATCGGGGTGTCACCGTTCCCACAAAGACCATGAAGCAACCGCGGGCGAGTGGCGGACGTCGTGGCTTCCGCTGGGGTGCAGCAGCCCAGCGGAGCTAGGAGTGCGAGGAATTCGGTGCAACAGCCAGGGCCCCACCCCAGAGAGGGGACGTCAGAGCAAATTCCTTCTGCCCAGGGAGCGGGCCGGCAGCCTGAGGGGCCGGGCTCGTGGGGGCTGCGGGTCGGGAGTGAGGGGCACCAGCAGGGCCTGGGGGGGGGGGGCAGAGCCCAGGGCTGGGCAAGCAGGGGCTGCGGGTCAGGAGTGAGGGGCACTGGCAGGGCGCGGGGGGGCAGGGCTGGCCATGGGGGGGGCTGCGGGTCGGGAGGGGCACCGGCAGGGCAGGGGGGGCACCGGCTGGGCATGGGGGGGGCTGCGGGTCGGGAGTGAGGGGCACCGGCAGGGCGCGGGGGGCAGGGCTGGCCATGGGGGGGACTGGGGGTCGGGAGTGAGGGGCACCGGCAGGGCGCGGGGGGGCAGGGCTGGCCATGGGGGGGCTGCGGGTCGGGAGGGGCACCGGCAGGGCAGGGGGGGCAGGGCTGGGCATGGGGGGGACTGCGGGTCGGGAGTGAGGGGCACCGGCTGGGCATGGGGGGGACTGCGGGTCGGGAGTGAGGGACACCGGCAGGGCCGGGGGGGGGGAGCCCAGGGCTGGGCAAGCAGGGGCTGCGGGTCAGGAGTGAGGGGCACCGGCAGGGCGGGGGGGGGCAGGACTGGGCATGGGGGGGACTGCGGGTCGGGAGTGAGGGGCACCGGCTGGGCATGGGGGGGACTGCGGGTCGGGAGTGAGGGACACCGGCAGGGCCTGGGGAGGGGGGGGGGGGAGAGCCCAGGGCTGGGCAAGCAGGGGCTGCGGGTCAGGAGTGAGGGGCACTATCAGGGCGCGGGGGGGGGGCAGGGCTGGGCAGGGGGGGCTGCGGGTCGGGAGTGAGGGGCGCACAATGACTCAATTCACACCAGGGCGTTTTTAACCTTTTATTTCTCAGGTCCAATAAATTATTGGCGGGCAGGGGAGGGGAAGGGCGGGGCCAGCCCCTGCCAGCCAATCAGGCGAGGGTGATCTCCACCCGGGGCAGCAGTGCAGCCAGCTGGGATTGGGCGTCGGGGAGGGCGCCCAGGGGGTTCCCCTGCAGGGCCAGCAGGCGGAGCCTGGGGAAGGAGGCCAAAGGTCGGAGGTCGGAAGGTCGCTGGATGCCTGGGGGTGGGGAGTCAAGGAGGGTGCAATGGCTGGAGGGGCCCAACCCCCCGCCCCAGCCCTCCTCTGCCCCGCCCCTGCCCGCTGCCCGTGGGGGCTCCCTGCCCCATGCGGGCGGCTGGAGGATACGGTTGCTGCGGGCTGAGAGCTCCTCCAGGCGGGGGAGGGGGGGCAGCCCCTCCAGGGTCTCGATCTGGTTCCCCTCCAGCTCCAGCACCTGGGGACAGAGAGAGTCAGTGACATGGGCCGCCCCTGGCCCGGACGCCTGGGTCCCTCCACCTGCTCCAGGGCCGTAGGGGGGGCTAGCAGTGAGACTGGGGTAGGGGGGCTGGGGCCCTCATGGTTCCGGGGGCGGGGATAGTAGTTAGACTGGTGGAGGGGGTTGGGCGCCTGGACGCCTGGGTCCCTCCCCGCTCCGGGATCTCTCACCTCGAGGCAGCGCAGCATGGCCAGGGTGGGAGGGAGGCGGCGCAGCCGGTTCCCCGCCAGGTTCAGGTGGGTGATGAGCGGCAGCTGCTCCAGGTGGCAGAGGACGGTCAGTCCCTGGGGGGCAGAGAGAGCTGGAGGGAGGGGGTCTCTGCTCCTCAGCGCCACGCACCTACGTGGCCCCGCCCTCTCTTCCTCCACCTCATCTGGCTCCACCCACCCCTGCTGCCCCTCCTGCACATTCAGCCTCCTGGCTCCACTCCCTTACATTTCTGGCCCCGCCCTTCTCCTAGCTCCACCCCATCCCCTGCTCCTTCTCCTCCCCTAGCTCCACCTCTTGTATTAGCCACGCCCCCTGCTCCCTCTCGTCCTGCCCACTTCCCACTTGGCCTCACCCATTCGTGTTTACCCCTCCATCAATCCTCTAGCTCCACCCCCTGCCTCTCCCTCTTCTCAGCTCCGCCCACTAGTCCTCTCTTGACCCCATGCTTTGTTCTCCCGTACCCGGCCGGACAGGTCCACCACCCTGGCCTCGGCGTACTCCATCCGCAGGATGCTGTTCTCCACAAGGAATCTGCTGCGCAGGTCGTCCAGATAGGCCGAGCGCATGGGGTCAGCGGCCTGGGGGTGGGGACAGAGGGACAGGGTGGAGGGGGCTGGGAAGAGCAGCTCAGAGCCCCCTCCCCCCAAGATTCCCCTTTCTCCTCCCCCCGCCCCTCACCTTCAAGGTGTCGAAGTAGCTGAGGGTCTCTCGTTCGTACACCAAGGGGTCCAGGGCCCGCATGAGGAGGATGATGGTGAGGAGACACCCTGTCGAGACAGAGAGAACCCAGGAGTCCTGGCATCCAGCCCTCCCCCCACACTAACCACCAGATCCTGCTCCCCTCCCAGAGCTAGGAGAGAACCCAGGCGTCCGGGAGGTACCTACACTTGTTCTCCGGCTCCAGGGCCTGCAGCTCCTTACAGGACTCCAGTTCTGACTGCAGCACGGTCGACTTCTCCACGGAGAGCTCGCACCTGGGGGGGTGGGGGGGAGGTTAGGGGGCCAGCCAGCACCTGAGATGGGTGGGGGCAGGGCCCATCCTGGGGGCGGGGGGGCTGCTCTGCACTCAAATGGGGGAGGCAGAGCTAGCTCTGACTACACACCTGGGGGGGGATGTTTTATTCAAGATACTCAAGGGATGGGGGCTACCGTGAAACAGGCACTTAAAGGGGGGGAGGCAACCCCCCAGGGGGAGGAGCCTATCCGCCTACACATAATCAGGAGGCGTGGTTTATCTGAGGGGCGGGTCTAGTCTTGAATGGAAAGGGACAGAGCTGCTCTGTAGGGAACGTATCAGGGAGGCAGGGCTACTTAGCCTGGGGTAGGGCCCTTCTGAGTGGGGAGGGCCTGTCTAGAACATGCACACTAGGGAAAGGGGCTACTCTGCGAGGGGAGGAGCTTCTGGGGGAGTAGGCGGGACTTCCTGCCAGGGGGCGGGCCCTCTCAGAGGCAGATGACCCAGGGTGGGTCGAGGGGTCTCCTACCTGAACACCTGCTCCTCGGTGACGGAGTCCCGGCACCAGCCGTCGCTGCGGCCTTGGGGGCAGAGGCAGAGTGTCAGGGAGCTGGGGGGAGGATTTTCGGGGGGGGCGGCTGTTGGGGTGGTGTATGGTTACCTTTGAAGAGGACACACTCCTTCTGGGACTCCCCGCCCGCCCACTGCACCCGGAAGGTGTGCTGGGGCCAGTGGTCGTTGAGGGCCGAGGCCGGCAGGTCGCACAGCTGGGTGGGGTGGGGGGGTCAAGGAAAAAGGTTCTAGCCTCCCTCCCCTGCCAGAGAACCCAGGAGTCCTGGCTCCCCCCCACATCCCCTAGACCTTACTCCCCACCCAGAGAACCCAGGAGTCCTGGCTCCCAGCCCCCACTGCTCTAACCCACTAGACCCCACTCTCCACCCAGAGAGCCCAGGTTCCTGGCCACCATCCTCTTGCTCTA